GGCTCCCAAGTGACAAGCACATTGAATGAGTCCCGCAGTACCCAGGTGATGTTTCCAGAAGAGGAAAATACTTTTGGCAACCTTTTGAATTGCCAGGATCGAATGATTTTTATTCTCCCATCCACTGTCCACTGCGACCAGTTATTTAATCTTTTGTGGTATATCCCGTGTCCTTAGTTTAGTGCATGTCGTATTACTCCAAAACTATTGAGACATGACAACGTATTCTGTTTTGTTACAGTTGTCATTCTTGCCTTTATCGCAAGGATTCGACTCCAACTGAAAGACGAGCCTTTTGTCATTCAAAAACGGAGTCATTCGCAACAAAACCAAGCAATGGCATCGATAATGACCATGCATCTGAATCCTAGTCCTCCAGAACAACCTTTGTGCTCATTATTATCAATGAATTCTCTTGGAATTCTCCTAAAAATTCACCTGCGATTCGCCTCACTATTCTATTACAATTCTCCTTAGAACCACAGCTGAATTTAATTCTTCTTCCCAGAAACCTCAGAATTTCTCAAAACCTAATCTAAAAATATTCATGGAGTTCTGCTCCGAACTATATTAGTTTTTTTTTCAAGAATCCTTCCCAGTATATCTTTAGAATAAACACTGAAATTCTTTTAAAATTTATCCAAAAATTCCAGTTAGAAAAAAAGCAATACAAATTATTTCCTTACAAATTTGTCTGGGCAAAATTTATCTTCTTCTTTGCTTTATTTACCGTCGGTCTCTGTTCCGCAATCTAGTGCTAATCACCAACAGACATCGATTGCCATCCATTGACGGCAATCGAATGTGCAGGAAGGCAGCTTCCACACCTCCGTAGAATATCGTACCCATTCAACACACATGGGCCGAGACCAGAGATTGTTATGCCTCAGAAAAAATCCCATCGACCTCGGCTGGGATTGAACCCAAACCCATTGGGGTGAGAAGCAGTCACGCTTACCACTACACCACTGGCGCCGGCTTGGGCAAAGTTTAGAATCTTGGAATTTTTTTTGAATAAAATTCAGTCTAAGACTCAAATCAAATGTCAAATAGAAGCATTGTAAATCTTGGAAATTTTCTCAATTTCTCATTTTTTTAAGTTTTCTGTGACGGAGTGTTAAAATATGCTCTTGCTGCGAATATGCTCTCCCAAGCATTTTTACTAGATCTTATTTGTATCAAGTTCAAGATTTCTAAAACAATTTCTTAATTCAAAATGTCACTGTTTTCAATCTGGTCTAATGACTAATATAGTTCGCTTTCACGCTGGACTGACTGATTCATAATGATTATTATTTTCTCATCCTTAATTGAGGGATGAATGTACAACGTAACGTATGATCGTAAAGGTTTTTTTTAATACTTCCTGGACCTATTTAGTGTGATATGCTATCCGCTTTAAAAAACTGCTTCCTGTAGTTTGGCTACTACGATTTTTTTTCCCAAAATCTAAATGATTGATTGTGGTCATGAAAACTTCAATTTTTTGCTAAATATTAAAAACCAGTAATTCTTTTCAAATTTCACCGGGAAAATCGGGAATTTAAAAATGAAAATTCGCTGCAAGACGGTGATTGGCACTCGATTGCGAAGCAGAGACCGACGTTAAATAAAGGAAATAAGAAGTGTGCTTTACTTCTGTTTTCAACCTGAACTACCCTGTAAATCCTGTTTTCAAGTTCACAGTTTGTATCCTCAATTTAGGATTCCGACAAAAAAAGGTCGTTTGTTTATTGTTATCCCACTTTCATAAAATACCGATATGACATAGGTACGCGTTTTATCGATATCGGATTAAAAATATCGGATATCGATATGAACCGATAAATAAGATCCGATAATATCGATGTTTTTGTAAATATCTGTTCATCCTGTTTTTGTAAATATCTGTTCATTACTAAATATTTTAGATCACTGATCTAGCCATGTCTCCAACAATGTGAGGTGATGAAGTTAACGGTCAAATCCGTTTCGATATTTACCTAATATATTTGTTGACCACCTACTTTTTGAATGTGCTATGTGTAATCTACATAACAAAACAAAATCTCCGCACGAGTTCTTTAGCTCTAAATAAGTGTTCTTTCAATCAGTGGGAAATTCCACAAACACGTTGGCAAAATAAACAAAATTTTCCTTAGCTAGGTATAGTATCTACAAATATCAACGCAACTTCTTTTTTTTCTCAAAGCGTGAATATTGGGGTCAATAGGGGAAATGACGGCTTCGGCACTTCTTCGTCAGGTGGATAAATGAATTCCTTGAGCGCTGATTTTTTGCATGAAGGTGCATTATATTCCAGAGTATCTTTTTGCAAATAATTATCACTCTAAGACTTCGGTTACTTCCCTGACGATAATAGGTAAAGAAGTACCGAAGCCGTCAATTCCCCTACCACTTTATGCGATACTCCACCACTTGCCGACGTATCGCAGTATCACGTGCTTCGCCGATTCGTTCATTCATTGGAGTGCTAATAAAAACTGCTCTCGGTGGCGTCCAATCAACCAATCTACCAATACACCTATATGCGTTTACCTGGACTCACATGCCTTTAACCATAAGTAACGAGTCACGCGAACGTAGCCGTTGATGATGTCAGAGTGGAATTCCGCGGAACGCGACTCACTGACGTCATCGTCATACACGGTTGCGCGTACGTTTTGCTCACCTGACTCGGGCCTGTGCGCGCGCAATGCCGCCATACGTTGTCGTCGGTCACAATTTGTACACGAGGCAGCCTTCATATAGCTATCCGGTGTCATAAATTACACAAAAGACTTCGAAATGATGGCACGGACATAGGTACTGTTGGAAAGTGGTCTTATTGCGTAGTATTCAGCCATTCGCTGCCGCTATTCGCATAACAGTCTCATGTCCTGTGGGTTTCCTTTTCTACATGGGACTGTTATGCGATGATCTGATCAGTGGCACTATGCTAAGGTCATTGTAGGATGAATGACCCTAAAAACAAAAAGGGGTCACCTTCGTGTCTATCGTTGATAACTGCTATCAACCGGTATGAAGGTGATGGAGAGCAGTTTGTACAAGTGTACCTATTGGATTAGTAACGTCGAACAAGGTGATAACAACAGCGTACTGCAGCGCCATCAGTCATGTGGATACTATCTTATGACCGACTGCTTTGCTGTAAATTAAACGTGACTGCGAAAAATTGAGTTCTGCAATACTCAATCACTGCAGCGAAAATTAGGAAATGTTGAACAAATTTTATTTAATGGCAAGTACGAACTTCATGGCTATCATTAGCAATCGCCAATAAGAGGTAGTTACAATGCAGGCATGCATGTTATAAGTTTCAATGTCAAGGTCTAGCTCCCGAGTAGCTCGATTCTCACTTGGTGTAGGTAGCCCTATTAGACAGCGGCTAAACAGATAGCATTCAGCGATTTATTTATAGATGTCAGTAAGTCGCGTTCTTCTCGAGCTAACTGTCTCGATCAACATTGTTTCCGCTCATAAATATTCAACTAGGAATATACAGTGTATGAATGTGGGTAAGATCAGCTGTGGCGTGCTAGCAAGCGGAGTAGTAAGTCAGCCGATCTGATAAAATAATTAATCAAATGGAATCCATTGAACTCGAACCTTGCTTATCAGATCAGACCTTGGCCATCAAAAGAAGAAAACAAATCGTAGAGATATGCATTTGGGGGAGGCAAGCAACAGATGATAGAACACATTTGAAAGCGTGACGTAAATATCTTTCGGCAGCCACGAGCTTTGACGTCAATCTTTTTCAAAGCCGGTGCTCTGTGTTGTTATTACGTTTGTTTTCGAAGTTCTCTATCTAATTTTTTGACAGGATTATAAATAAATCTCGGCTGTCTCAGACCATCGGAACGAGGCCCGCCGTCGACCAAAATAAAGTGAAAACAATCTCGTCACATCCGTCGTACACATGCCCACTTTACTTAGAAGGTTTAATCACTATGCTTTTGGAATGTGTTTTTATGGACGCTTGCGACAACAATCGACGAGAGGTAGATTTATGGTCTAAAAACCGGTTTCAACTGGTGATTGCGAACGGCAAAAAAAATAGGCCACCAGTTCCAGGAAAACGAACATTTGGCAATAATCGTTTCACTCAACTTTTGACGCGATAGGTAGATCAGAGGTCTCATTTAATTGGTAGTTGTATTGGTAGTATGGAAGCAATGCAGCTACTTTAGATTCGTCTTGCGGAAATTTATAAATTTTCTTTTTTAATTATGAAAGTGATCGAACATTATTCTCAAAAATAAAAGAAGCACTCCTTGCGATTCCATTTTTTCCTGGCTTCATCCGTATGCCGAAGTGAATCCAATGACGTTTCAATGTGTTTGGGTAAAATTGAAACTCGTTTGATGGAATTGGAATCAAGAAGCATTGTTAGATTTTTAACAATATCTCTGCAATTTGTGACTCTTTATCAAATTTAACGGTACGTATGGAAAGTGATTTAGAAGTCATATTTGATAAAAACATTCAATTTTTTGCTCAAATCCGCTTGAAAAATACAGGTAAAGTGCAGGTTGTGCTTAGTATGACAGAAATTAGATGTTAAACCTATTTATTTCTTTCTTTGGTTTGATGTTTGTAAATAAGTGATTCATTATCACTCCATAGCCTATAGGCATCGAAGTTCCCAAGCCCTTTGGCCTCACACTATCTCCAATGTACTCATCGATCCATATTATAATCTGTGGCGTGTCCAAAGTCCTAACTGCTCCTCTTCTTTGCAATGCCCAGTATGCATTAGGCGACAGCTGATAATGAACCGAACAACACTAGTTACAGTTTAGTTTGCCGTATACGCTTCAGCAGACATCACAGTTTTCCAATCCGTGTTTACTTTGCGGCATTCCGTGCATACAAAACGAGTGCTGATTTATTGCACACGTTGTCCGAAATCAACTGGAATTCAAATAAACGAAAATCTCCATGTACCTATGTACTAATCAAACTGTGCGATTTGCTTCACTGTCCATCCCCCACAGCAGACCAAGTGCCGCAAAGAACATAGAGAGCGAACCAAACTCGAATTCCAAATTTGAATCTTCGGCAACAGGCAAATTGATAGGACTTCCCGTACTCGTCTAGGACTTTAGCTACAAAGATGCATCGCGCAAGGATAGCTCTCCAGCTCATCAGTCATCCAGCTGGTCAGCAGAACTTTGGATCCTGGTTAATCCGGAATCCAACGTCGAAGGTAAGTTTTTGTTTTGCTTGACTCAATCATCCTGAAAATTAATGTATTCGTGCTTCTTCTTCATTGCAGCTCACCAGTGAACTGGTAGCGGCTTCGTCAGTGAAACTGTACAACTCTGCAGCCGCCGAACCTTTCCTCAATGGCTCGTCGTCAAACTACATCGACGATATGTATAGTGCCTGGCTAAAGGATCCAGCTTCAGTGCATGCTGTACGTATATACATAAACATAGATACACTTTTTCTTTAGCTCATGATGCAACTGCTACAACACTGTACAACATATGTTCTGAGGACCAGCTTCAAAAAGTATATGTGTTTGAATCGTAGCCAGTCAGAGTTAATCGCAAAGCTCATCGAGACTTGCGAATCAACATGTAAGACTGATGGCTCGTTAGGGCAAAATACACTGAAATGCACGGTATCTAGCATGCAGAAGGTCAAAAGGTTTTTTTTTTATCGTAAAACATTAAAACCTTATCAAATCCGAGAGGAACCCTATCAAAAGGCGGAATCTCAAAAGTCAGACTACGTAAACCATGTTACATAAGGCAGAACATAGCATTATGCATAAATGAAAAAGGTGAAATGAAACAAAACACTTCCCATAGTTTTATGTCACTTTATTTTGCATTGAAATAATCATCTCTTTACTTCCTTTTGGTTAGCTTGGCAGAGCGTCATTCCTTCAATAAAGTTCTTATTATTGACAGAAGCAACATTGAAAGATATATGAAAGATGGTGCCTTCTTCATGCTGCTCTGTGTCTGTGTCTAGCTGTCTTTCGTTAATTCTGCCTTATGTATTTTCGCCTAAAGTAGGACACCACTTTTTGACATGCCATCACGTTATGAACTTCCAGTTGATTTTCGTGCAGCTTTTTTCATTCATCAACATTTCAAAACAACTAATCTGCTTTTGTAAACAGTGGTTTTAGCCATCGATTGCTCGCAAATAAAAGCTTGAAAATGCAAACTAACAACATCATCTATTAGAGGAATGTTTCCAATATCAGCTAGGTAGTAAGATAAGTTTGCAGGAGTGAGCTTTTATTTGCGAGAAATCGGCGGTTGAAGTCATTGTTTCTGAAAGCAGTTTTGCCCTAATAAAATGTTAACATCGAGATAGTTAATAATTGAAAACGCTCCTTAGATATTGGTTACTAGCACAACCTATTGTACAAACTGTAAACTATCCATAAACGCATAACTGTCCCATTTCAATAGGGCTTTTATGGGCATTAAAGGTCCTTCAAACCAAGACATCATCGAACATGTATCGCCCAGTGTATATTCTACGTTATCGTGAAACGTGCTATGTTTTCCTATCTACTGCAGAAATAATCAATTGCATAATTGCGTGTTCACTACTCACAATCAGGTCACAAATACACAACGATAACACATATTGCTTCCCTTTTTCTTCTTATGCTTTCAGTCTTGGGATGCCTATTTCCGTAACAACTCCTACGAGGCACCACCATCGCTGGCTCCGATCCCAAGAAATCACGTTTCTGCATCTCAATATCTCGGCAGTGCCTTACCAGCTCTGGCAGGTGGCAGCCCAGCTGTCGGCACTCGCATCGATGACAAACTGATCGATGACCATTTGGCCGTGCAAGCCATCATCAGAAGTTACCAGGTAATGTCTTGGCTCCCCTACAGTTTCCCGACGGCACACGATCTTTGGTTAGGAATATCCTTTGTTTTTGTCCTACACGTTTTTTTTTGTAGTATACAGCTTAATCCCCAAGTTTTCAACTCCCTCAGTAGGTTTATATCCCTCTTTTCGTACTAAACTACCAACAGTTATTATTGTGTTAGGGAACAGTAACAGCACGGTACAATTTGTTAGTTTCAGAATTGAATGTAGAGGGTATTGTCTTTTTTTTTCGGCTGACTATTTTATTTAAGGTTGTCTTTCAAACACGAAAGTGAAGAAAAGTCTCTATATTACATGTTGGTGAACACGTACTGCATGAAACAATAGTGTTTGTTTGGACAAACGGGTCGGTCGTATACGTTAAGCAATTTTCACTCAGTTCGCTCAGACGAAAAGCGCAAATGGATCACCGAGATACACAGCATTTGCACCTTAAACTATAGATCTTTTTTATCATCCTAAAATATACATATTATCACTTTAGTTTGTAGACTCAGACTGCACTACTTATACGAATTCTTATGCTAATATGGTAACGCTAAAACAACAGATGTAAATTTGATCTAAATATCTGCGTTGTTATAGAGTTATTATTCACATCTTCTTGAAAAGATATGCTCCGCGATGCTTCAAATGATATTTCCTCACCCCCACCCTTCATTCTGTGCTATTCTAAATTATTGAACCAACCCACTTCACCCAACAGTCTCGTGGCCATCTGGTGGCGGACCTCGATCCGCTGGGTATTCTGAATGCCGACATTCAGAGGGACCTGGAACATAACCTACGTGCGAATGAAAACGTTACTCGCACATACATGAGCTTCGGTAATTGTTCTTACTCACTCTCTATTCTAAACCTACATTTATTTTATATTGGCAATATTTAAAAAAAAAATTGAGATTCGGAACCAGCTCTAGGCTTCTTGTTATATACGTACTTCGTCTTTTTTTTTAAGCATAGACACAATATACTTAATTAACATTCACAAATATGCTGCTGCAGAACCGGGTGTGCTTTATTGCTGTGAGGGCTAACGTGTATTTGTGTGATTGGGTGGTAAATTTTAACCTAGATTTACGGTTTTCAAGTTCACAACAACGGCGGAATGTTGCAGTTCGTTGTGGTGACAAGTTGGGTTTTGTGATCGTATATATTTGTAGTGTAGTGTGACATCTATTTTTGGTTTGTCCTATCTTTCCTGTTAACTTTGTGTATAGTTACTGACCTTAACACCTCCCCTGCTAACCTCAGAAAATATCCTCCAGGTAGAGACACCCCAACACTTCCCTCCAAATGAACATTTTCGTTGAACCAAATTGAACCCACCAATAAATATCGTATTTCTTCTCCTATTTTCTATCCCGGTCCGTCACGAAACATGCGCACTATTGTGGATTGAATGACAAACGATCACGACTTTCCCGTTGCTCCCCGCTACTGCAAAACCAATCGATACTCAATGACTTGATATTGACTGCCCGAAAACTGGACACTCTTTTCAATGTGATTTGCAAAACTACCCATAATTTCAATTCTTCCAAATCAACCATCACAGATTCGGGGTCATAACATTTCTAAACTAGACCCGCTCGGCATTAGTAACGCGGACCTAGACGATAGAATCCCAACGGAATTACTGTACTCTTCCTATCGTTTCGGTGAGTATCAATCAACAATTCAGTACTGTGTATCAAACCAAAAAAAAAACCTCTAGTGTTAGCTTTGAATAGCAGAGTCCCGGAATCGCTTCTCCCTTTCATCTTCGACCAGCATTTTCATAATCTATGACACCTCAATTGGGAATTTCTACCACTTAGTTTTGGTTCTAAATTGTGCACTCTCGAAAATTGCATCGACCCTTACAGTAAGCAAATCGAAACATTAATTTATCCAGTGGCATCTTGCTTCTTGGCTATTATTGTTTATTTGTTAAAAGCTTTAAAAATGCATTTGGAATGACACCTTTCTTTTAAATTTGCATGTGTAGGTGAGTCAATCCGAATGCATTGAATGCTCAGAAAAATGTAACAAATTTGTAAAAAAACACTCAATTTAATTCTTCTGTAATCATACTTTTACTTTTTTTGAAATCTTAAAGCTCAACTCTAATAATACGTATTTACTGTGTATTACTGTGTCAATATAGATACAAACGGGGTCAAAGTTTAGAGTGCAATGTAGGCAGATGTTAGGTATTTAATCCGTTATCTGTTCCTCTAACTCGATAGACTCTTCAACTTAATACACCCTTCAGAAATCTTAAGAAGTTGACTATTTAGGTTAGGAAGAGTTGACTGTTTAGTAGGAAAACGACTAACTTCTAGAGGCTTTTATCGTTATCAAACGCATAGGAAACCGGGTCACTAAGTGATGGCTTTCAATAATTAAAATGGTTTAGGTTTGAGCAACTTTAGATCGCACTTCGACAGCAGAACGGCGTTTCAGCTATGGTTTTGCGTATCCGAAACAGTTCCCATCGAGTACAAACATTTTTTTCCATGCAAAATGGTATGACCTTGCTTCAAGGAATGTTAATAGCATTGGCGTAACTAAGAAAAAACCTAAGGGGAGGAGGTTTAAATTGAATTTTCGAATTTTTCAATTAGGCAATTAGCGAACAATTTCAATTGATTTGAAAGGAAAATACAAAATACTCCCCCCGTAGTTACGCCAAAGGTTGATAGGGTAAGATGGGTCGTCTACACACTTAGATTTTTCTACCGAGCTCGGCTGTGCAAATCTTTTATTGAGATCTCAGCAAAAGTGACATTTGATTGCTGAGTCTCGGATTATGCTTAGCTGAATCTCAGCAGACAAATGAAATGTTTGCTGAGATCTCAGTCAAACTTTTTTTGCCGAGATTTACACAGCCGAGCTCGGTAGAAAAACTAAGTGTGTACTTGATTTATCTATATTTTTGTTTGTCAATGTAGCTCCAATGCTGGTTTGTAAAAGCAAACCTTCTATGGGGTTCAATTGAAACTGTTGATATTGACATACAAATAAATTATTAAATCTACTAGCTGACCCATCTTGCCTCATAGTACCCTACTCTGCCCTTCGCTTTATGCATTTTTACGACGAGTATAAGGCAATAATTTAGGTACATACGACAGTACGTACACCTGTAAAGCTCGTCTTCTACTCGCCATCATTCCCAACGGCTTACAGGGCAATCCACATCCGTTTCCCTTTGTATGATTGTCGATGCCAAGAACTGCTGCTATTCGCACAACTACAATTGGTTTGTGGCTCCCCGTGAACTCTTTATACGTGCATACCCCTAGCCAAAGGGGTCCAACATATCAAACCATTTCAGCGGTCATTCGTTCAGACATTTCAGACATTCCCTAGAGAGTGGTTACACCGTATCTCCCACCAGGGACCCCGGTAATAACTTGCCCAATGCTCTCGGCCACCCTGCATACCACCCCCGTTGACGTTTGAAACTCTATTACATACCTTCAATCTTCTTTTTTTGAGATTCGTTGATTATTAAGAGCTTAGGAGATGACGTTTGTCGTACTTTTATGATGATGGTTCAAAGTAAGAATGACTTCAATTTTGTTATATTCTGTTCGTTTCTTACCACTCGCCAGTTTCGGTTGTGTTCTATTAAAATCCTTTTTGGTTTTCTGTTTCTTTTAATTTCAATAGTTATATGTTTCCTTTATTATTTTGTAAATATTTTCCTTCCCCTGTACACTTTAAACACTAGATCTGTTCTCATTTTTTTTTCTGTAACCAGTTCAATATTTTACTACTACTAATTTTCGAATGCTTTTTGAGTTCTTTCTGTTAGCTATTTTCTACTAATAATATATCTTTAGTTCTTACAATTCTGTTGAGTTGGACACATCGAACGTTTTCTTACTCTTGAGCTTCTGATAGTTGCACAAATTGTGAAACAGTCTTCCCGCTTCTCTAACGCTTGAAACTTACTTATCTCACATGTTACCTCTGTTGTAAATACATACATGCATACATAAAGAATACGAGCAACAACGAGAGCCACGCTAAGACTCTTGGTACGAATTTCCGCGAGAAGTACACACCCAATCAAATGATCATCTTTTCTTCCATTGGTACATACAACTCCGAATTTCAATTACGACCTTTTTTATGTTTCCTTTCTTCACATCTTTCACTTTTGTTTCTACGTGGAACTAATATTGGCTCCCATTCTACTCCCCAACCATAACACATTGGAATCTTTCCATACATGCAGAGGAAGCCGACATGGAACGTGTGTTCAAGCTTCCGAGCACCACCTTCATTGGTGGCAAGGAAAAGTTCCTCCCGCTGCGTGAAATCCTGAGCCGTCTGGAACGTGCCTATTGCAACAAAATTGGCGTTGAGTTCATGTTCATCAACTCGCTCGAACAGTGCAACTGGATCCGAGAGCGTTTCGAAACCCCCAACATTATGAACTATACGAACGAGGAAAAACGTCTGCTGTTGGCCCGTCTGACCCGTGCCACCGGTTTCGAGGCGTTCCTGGCAAAGAAGTTCTCCTCGGAAAAGCGATTCGGTCTCGAAGGCTGCGAAATTATGATCCCGGCCATGAAGGAAGTGATCGACGTTTCGACCCGCCTCGGCGTGGAATCGATCATCATGGGTATGCCCCATCGTGGTCGCTTGAATGTGCTGGCTAATGTGTGTCGTAAGCCGTTGAACCAAATCTTCACCCAGTTCGCCGGTCTGGAAGCCGCCGATGATGTAAGTTCTGACTGTTTGAATTTTTGAATATTTGTGTAATGATCAATTAACATTGTTAACGATAGGGCTCCGGTGATGTCAAGTACCACTTGGGTACGTACATTGAACGTCTGAACCGTGTTACGAACAAGAACATTCGTCTGGCTGTTGTTGCTAATCCATCGCATTTGGAAGCTGTCGATCCTGTGGTCCAGGGTAAGACCCGTGCCGAACAGTTCTATCGCGGTGATGGGGAAGGAAAGAAGGTCATGTCTATTTTGCTGCACGGTGATGCCGCTTTCTCAGGCCAGGGTGTCGTTTACGAAACGATGCACTTGTCGGACCTACCGGATTACACCACCCACGGAACGATCCACATTGTCGTGAACAACCAGATTGGTTTCACCACTGATCCTCGTCATTCGCGTTCCTCGCCGTACTGTACTGATGTGGCTCGTGTTGTGAACGCTCCCATTTTCCACGTCAACTCGGATGACCCTGAGGCCGTTATGCATGTGTGCAAGGTTGCTGCCGAATGGCGCGCTACATTCCACAAGGACGTCATTATCGATCTTGTCAGCTACCGTCGCAATGGACACAACGAAATTGATGAACCGATGTTCACTCAACCCCTGATGTACAAGAAGATTCGCGGTATCAAGCCGGTCTTGGATATTTATGCTAATCAGCTGATTGCAGAGGGATGTGTGACTGCCGATGAAGTAAAGAGCGTCAAGGATAAATATGAAAAGATTTGCGATGAAGCCATGGAACAGGCCAAGGTAGAAACCCACATCAAGTACAAGGACTGGCTGGACTCTCCATGGTCTGGCTTCTTCGAAGGTAAGGACCCTCTGAAGGTTGCTCCAACTGGTGTTATCGATGAAACTTTGGTACACATTGGTAACCGGTTCTCCTCGCCACCTCCGAACGCTGCTGAATTCGCCATTCACAGGGGACTCATGCGTGTGCTGGCCGCTCGCAAAGAAATGGTTGATAACAAGACTGTTGATTGGGCTTTGGGTGAGGCAATGGCCTTCGGATCTTTGCTAAAGGAAGGCATCCATGTACGCTTATCCGGTCAAGACGTCGAACGTGGTACTTTCTCACATCGTCACCACGTCCTGCACCATCAAACTGTCGACAAGGCTACATATCGACCACTGTGCCATCTGTATCCCGATCAGGCCCCTTACACTGTATGTAACAGCTCACTGTCTGAATTCGGTGTGCTTGGATTCGAACTTGGTTATTCCATGACCAACCCGAACGCACTCGTCATCTGGGAGGCTCAGTTCGGTGATTTCAACAATACCGCCCAGTGTATTATCGATCAGTTCATTTCATCTGGCCAGGCCAAGTGGGTTCGTCAGAGTGGTTTAGTTATGTTGTTGCCTCACGGCATGGAAGGTATGGGACCGGAACATTCGTCTGCCCGCGTTGAACGTTTCCTGCAGATGTGCTCGGATGATCCTGACTACTTCCCACCAGAATCGGAAGACTTTGCTATCCGTCAGCTGCATGACATCAACTGGATCGTGGCCAACTGCTCAACACCCGCTAACTATTTCCACATCATGCGCCGACAGATTGCAATGCCCTTCCGCAAACCACTGGTGCTTATGACCCCCAAATCCCTGCTGCGTCACCCAGAAGCCAGGAGTCCATTTAGTGAAATGACCGATGGAACTGAATTTCAGAGGTATGATATACCCATTAAAATAACATAGCAGTTAACTGATCTTGGTTTGCTTTGCAGAGTGATCCCTGATGCCTCCCCGGCTTCGCAGAACCCGTCCAAGGTGAAGAAATTGATCTTCTGCTCCGGAAGGGTTTACTACGATCTCGTCAAGGCTCGCCGAGAACGCAATCTCGAATCGGATATTGCCATCAGCCGACTGGAACAGGTTTCTAAGCGCCACCGCTTTTACACATATATTCGGAAAATATCTAAATCGCTTGCTTTCCATTTGTTTGTTCCAGATCTCACCGTTCCCGTATGATCTAATTAAGGCTGAATGTGCCAAGTACTCGAACGCCGAGCTAGTGTGGTCCCAGGAAGAACACAAGAACCAGGGCTACTGGACGTACATTGAGCCCCGCTTCGACACCGCAATCAACTCGACCCGCGACCTGAGGTAAGATTTGTTTCACTAACTTGTTACTATCGCCATTCAGTCGTCAATCATTCGATTCCATCCAAGACTCCTACATATTCACTCCTGCCATTCCTTTCCGATTGGTATAATATTTGGTATAGATGCCTAGTGGTACAATTGGTACGAAATGTCCATCTAGCGAAAATTTACATCCCTTTGAGCTGTGACCAAACCACAAACTCATTTTTTCCCCTTCTAAAATTCGATCACTATCCAGATTTGATTATGGCACGAATTTCACTTGCACCCTTTCTTCGATCAGTTTCTTTTTAATCTATGTCTATTTTCAAGTCACACTAGATATTTTTCACAACTTTCCACTCCAGCTTCTTATAGGGTCTTCTGTTGGTGGTTGTTGCCAAGTTGTGTTATTTTTGGTTTGAATAGTTTGCTTTTTTATTGGTGCGCGCTCTCCTCTAAATTTATCTCAAAAGTATGCGTTACGGTGGTTTTGGATGATCATTTTAAAGTAAGGCGTAGACTCACCATCGGTTCTTTGTTAAACAAATGATATCGGCAACTGATAGATCTTTCATATAAGAGTGTATAGAGTAATTTTTAGCCGTTCGAGAGTCTGATGAAACCCCACTTAATCAGATGGATGGATATCAACATTCATGTGTACATACATTTTTCGATAGAAACAAAAGATACTCGTCAAACCTTCAACTAATATAACCAAACCCTTGCGCTTCCATGATTGGACTTGTCACGTCAGTAATCGAACGAGTAGTTGTCAAATTATCCCGCAGCTTTGTTTTTTATATGTAAAGTTTGAATTGTTATTTGTTTTGAAGTAGCTACAGTAAGTTGATCCCTTGTTTGCCTCGTTGTTTTTTTTTATCGCCACATAGTTTGCTAATATCTATCGTGTCCAAAAATCCAAGCCATTTTTAATAATAAATCGAAACAACAGAACAAGTCCGTAAAAGTCATTTCCCGTTTCGTGTTCCAAACCGCCCTACCTACTAGTCAAACCAACCACTACTCGATCAGAATTAATCGAAGACAAACCTAGGAACACCCTTTCTCCCTCCTTTTGCAGCGATGATGATGGCGATCTTGTTGATACTACACACAGTGCCTTCGCCACTAGCGCCACCTATCCTACTAGTACCACAGCAACAACTCGATCGACATCGACCACAGCTACAGCGACATCTACTACAGCAGTGTCATCATCGCCCACTTCTACTTCTGAACCTTCTTCTCCATCATCCAACTCTTGGTTGGCTCGTCTCTTCGGTTTCGGCAAGAAACCATCGACCACACCCCCAAAATCCACTAACCATTCCCAATCCGAATCATCTAGTTCATTCAACACTACCTCCAACACTAGGTCAACCTCAATCCCCAACATAACTAATAGTACCGATATCGCAAGTAATAATCACCATAATCATAATGATAAACGTATTGACAGTGTGCAAGACAAGCTTGTGCTGCAGAAAACCACCCAAGGATTCAATATTTCCCAAGGAACCTTCAATGCGCCAACCGACGGTACAAAGGGTCGCAAAGTGAAAATCTCATCGAGACCACTTAGGTGAGAGAACCCGTTTTGCTGCCACCATCTAATGCTGGCGCGCAGTGTCGTGTTGCTGTTGTTGATTTCCGAATCTGGCAACGGGCTTCCAGCCTAGGCCAGGCCGTATAAACTGCCTCTTGTTATACTGTAGGGTAAGGTGGGGCAAGATGAGTCACGGGGCAAGATGGGTTATCTACTTGATTTTTTTTTGTAATTGCCAACATCAACCGGTACTATGTAGCCCCAATATTGGTTTGAAAAAGCAAACCATCATTGGGGTTGCATTGAACCTGTTGATTTTAACAAATAAATAAATTAATAAATGTACTAGCCTACCTATCTTGCCCCATGTTCCATCTTGCCTCACCTTACTCTACAAACCGAGTATCCTTAGATTTAGAGAGTTTACTTTCGCTGTTAACTCATTTGTTTTTACTCATCCCGACTTTGACAAACGTTCTCTGCGCTCTCCTAATGACTGACAAATATTTTTGCTTTCTTATTTTTATTAGTTGCGCTTTCGACATACCTTACTGTTTTTTTTTTTCAGTTGCATTTTATATTTTATCCATTTTATTTTGATTGATTGGTTTGACGTGAATTGGCTGGCTTTCGATACGGAAACTGAATCCATGGAAATTACAAAATTTTGCTTTATCGTTTAATTACATTCACACATCAATGAAACTTTAGCCCGTTTGGAGTAGTGGCCGTTCCATTACGCCAAACGAGGTAAAGCCCATATACACCAAATGCTTTGGTTTGTTTTGAACACTGCCGACACAATTTTTAATTTAATCACAGAATTTCCCATTTCACTGATTAAGTCATTTTTCTACCTATAAATGTTAAACTTTTATGTACAGATCTATCAGACTACTTTCTTTTCCAGGAAAAGACAAACATACCCAACTAGCATATGCAGCTTTGTGACTAACTTTGATTTAATGACCACCTATGATTATTTATTCATAGTATTTATTTACGACATTTGTAATTAACCAATTCCAGTGCCTTTTTTAAAAGAAAAATCGATCAGTTGCGAATAGATATCTTCAATGGATCATACCATTCGAGCAGTTTAACCCTCTCCTTCCCATGGTCATACAGGTGATCCACAACTTTTCGGATCATCTCATGGTTGTCAAATGGTTGTTAATCTACTAATTTAGTACTTATTTATGCTTCTCCATGTGCTAATTATTCTCTTCCATATGTATTCTTGAGAATATAACTGAACAACTATTGAGAAACAGTTACAAAACTAATGATTTTAAACAAAACCCTTTTTTATGGATTCAGACTATATGAAACATCTTTTGTCCCTTTTTGCAAAAACATGTTTTTGCATCTCACAACTACGGAAAAATCCTCTTGGAAGCAGGGTTGCTTCCACTCACTTGCTATAAAAAAATATTTTTCGGTATTATGCAATCATTAGATGATATAATTATGTGTTGTACTTGTAAGTAACAAGAAGAGGGTGTAAAGTATGTGTTTGACTCATAACTCTGGATGGGAGCATACCATCAATTACTGTCAATGGTCGAAAGGTACAGTAGCAACACCTACCCCACCCGTGTCCCCTCGAGATCGTCAAGTCGACGATGACAGGAGCACATATCGTGGTAGGGGTAAACAATAGTTGCAATTTCCAAACCTACGACTGGATGCCTTCCTTCAAATAACAATTGAAGTGCGGTAAAAATCGGTAGAACTGTTTCAAACACACAGTTGGTACTTGAACGGGTCGGTTTTCATCTCTTTTTGCCAGTGGTGGCGGGGGGGGACACCCCTCACCGTCCCTCTCCAAAGGGGGAGTTTGGTAAAGAGAAATGAAAAAACCGATTTGTACCTTCCATAAAAGTTGTCCTAGTTCGCTATTCTAATATCTATATACAATCTTCACACTGCCGTACTCTAACGGAACTATCAACTCTATGCTTTCATCTACTCCATCTATCGTATAAAAATTACCACTACAGTCTGTTATTTGAAATTAGCATCTTCAACTATCATAAAACCTGTCAATTTCGCTTTCAGAGCGTCATAATCAGCGATCTTATGCTTCGTGAGCGTTCACTCTGAGTGAGCGCTCACGAGTCATAAAATCGCTGATTGTGACCCTCTGAAAGCAATATTGACAGATTTTATGTGTCAAACACATACTTCACGACCTCTTCGTGTAACTTAACTGTACTAATTATCATTATACCATCTCATGATTTCATTATTCCGAAAAACATTTTTTTATAGCAAGATAGTGGAAGTAGGTGGAAGTAACCCTGCTTGGAAGGAAAGGGTTAAAATGACTTTTCCTATTACTTTTTCCATTTATTACGTGGAGCAATACTATGAGATTGTTTCTACTAGAACTTCGAGAAAATATGTTTATGATAGGCTTGAAAATTCAAATTTATTGCCCCGTTTCCTTGAAATCTCTGGTAGAAGGGCGTCCCAAAACTGCTCGAATATGTGATTAATTGGTTTGAATTAAAATAACTGTCAACCACATTTTTATAATTTAGAATATTATTTATAAAAATATATTTAATGAACATTGAACCGGTACCGATATAAACCATCACTTGAGAAGTTAGAAAAGGAGTTTCAGGCCACTTACTTGTAATTTCGTGCACATACACCGAAAATAGTTTTCATGTAGCTTCCATTGGAAACGCAAATGATTTTAATCCATAAACAAAATTAATGGAATTCATCTGAGTTTCACATAACATTTATGCGATCACGTTAATTTTATATGATTTTTCATATTAATTTCATCGGCCTCATAATATTCATGTGATTTTGTGGTGGGATTTTTAGCTATGTGATCACATGAAAGCTATTTGAAATTCACATGGTTTTCATCCATTAGATATGTGATAAATTTTTTGAGTGTACGTAATCACAAATGACGTATGCTAAGTTGCACCTATTTTGGACCAATTAAGGATTTTAATTTACTCAAAATGTTGATGAAGAGCTCTACACTGCAAGGAGGTGGCACCCCTATCTTTACTATTAAACAACTAATCATAGCTATCATAGTGCTTAGATCGATATGTGATCACGTTTTTATGCTGGCTACAAAAAGATGGCGGCGTGTGGCCCTTGCTACACTTCCCTTTACAGCATAGCTGTCCCATTCGTCAAAACAGCAAACTGAGAAAAAAGCTGTTGTTGATTTTGTTTTCGCTCTGGCCTCTTATGGATAGGACAACATAGGGTCAGGTGGGGCAAGAATGCCACCATCAATAATTTTGAAAATAAACACATTTTCAATCCAAGCTTTATCATGAACGTATGAATGATGTTCCTATGCAGCTTTATAGAAAGTTCTGTCCACAATGAAATCTTACAAAAAAAAACAAAAAATCATTTTGTGTTGATGTGTCGAAAATCGAAATTATTTATAATAATTACACTGCCGTTATACATAGAACATGGGACAGTTATGCGTATAACGGCAGTACACATCATAAAATAAGGATACAAAACATTTTTGTTACTACAAAGCTCTCTTTATGGTTATTTTTATTAGGGAAGGCCTATCATTGGCCGTATAAGTATATCAACCTTATATAGTGTGGGTCCGATTTTGGCAACTCGTCTAATAGAATAGAATAGTTCCAGTGGGACAAGTATGCGTCCATTATTCCAGTGCGACAAAACGACTTACCATTTTTTCGATTTTTTGTGTTTTGTAACTGTCCCATTTAATGTGTCCTCCGGCAGTCACCAGTGCCAAATTTGAACAAAACCGAGAGGAAAACAACACGGCGAATAAGAACGACCCAAATTTGAGTTTAGTCAACTCATTAATCACATAAAGTGCAGGAACTTAGCCTCAGCGATGAGTAAATTTGCCTCATGTTTTCCCAGGTTTTTCAAGGATTTTCCAGGGAAAAATTCCCAATTTTGAGAAAAGTAAAGATTTGATTCACTCAGTCTATTGGTACTACTCCGAGACTGAACAAAACTTTTCGTCAATGCCCTCATTTTCCGGCAGATTTTTTAAATTTTCCACAGGAAACCATGAGACAAATTTACTCATCGCTGAGTTCCTGCACTTTTGGCGATTATGAGTGAACTAAACTCAAATTTGGGTCGTTCTCATTCGCCGTGAATATTTTCTTTTCCGTTTCACTCACAGTAAATGTGAGTAACTCAAAATTGAGTAGAATTCGACGTAAAATTGCAAAAACTTAAGTTACTCGCTCATGAAGTGTTTAAAATATTTCTGAATTTTTTTGCAATAGTTAGGGACCAAAGGGCAGTGTTGGAAAAGTTTATTTTCCATAAACATCTTTTCGCTGTTCTTCAGGGAATCATTTCGCTATGCTAAAATCGCGAACGAAATGGGAATAAAAGTTCCCTAATGATATGCACAACAAGTGCAGCCAAAGATTTTCAAAGAGGCTTCGGATTTCACTCGCTCAACCTATTTTACAAAAAAAAAACACCAGAAACTAGCTAATTGAGTTTCTTGTTCCTATCGACGGGAGGGGGAGTACCTATGTATGAAATTCTCTCGATGGATTTCTGACACTGCTGGTGGTTTCTTATTCTAGATTAGGTGTTATGCTTTATGCATGGTGATATTTAGGTTGCATACATGTAGGAGTAACCCGTACGTTTTATGGTGGAAGAATACCTACATTTAGGCTGCATTGAATACACCATTCCAAGGTTTTCACTTTCCATAACGCTTGTTGTATGTCATAGTTTGCGATCTATTTCATCACATACACGGCGAATTCCCAAATTTGAGTTTAGTCAACTCATAAGTCACATAAAGTGCAGGAACTCAGCGATGAGTAAATTTACCTCATGTTTTCCCAGATTTTTGCAGGATTTTCCAGGGAAAAATTCCCGAATTTGAAAAAAGTAAAGATTGGATTCACTATTGGTACTACTCCGAGACTGAATGAAATTTTCGTCAATTTCCTCATTTTCCGGCAGATTTTTTAGGTTTTCCACAGGAAACCATGCGACAAATTTACTCATCGCTGAGTTCCTGCACTTTTGGCGATTATGAGTGAACTAAACTCAAATTTGGGTCGTTCTCATTCGCCGTGAAGGGTTTTTGGTCTAATTTCCGTCCTACTAAGCACAACTCGTGTTTTACCTCTTTTTTGTTAACGGGTTTACAAAAAATTGAATATTTCTGTCAAAGACGACTTCTAAATTTATTAACCTTTCCATTGGATTGATAAAGAGCCACAAATTGTTGAGATATTGTTTAAAATCTAATACTGCTTCTTGATTCTAAATTCGTTCGACTAGTTTCAATCAGTGCTGCGTGCTGTCAACAATGTCAATTGGCTTTAGATATTGCTCCAGCACTGAATTTCACTTCTGAAACTGATATTCGTAGAACTAAGAAAAAGATGAAAATCTTACTTTTATCTCAACAAATAAACTGTTTCGTGTAACCGTTGCAGTGTTTTAATAGTACCGATGAATTTTCTGAAGATCAGTACTCGATTAGCTGGCGTATATGAGAAAAATGTCCCGCCGAACTTTGAATATCAGTATGTTCCATTCGATGTCAATGTAATTTGACACTGACATTGAGGCGAGTGAAATTAATATTGAAACTGTTTGGTCTGATACTGAAATCAAGGGGTTAGTGCAAATCAGCATTTTTTTTTATATTGATATTTTGCAGCACTGGTTTTATTTCCGTCCTAACGTATTGAAACGCCATTAGATTTCCTTCATCTTACGGATAAACGTAGAAAAAGGGGATTCGCTAGGAGCGCTTCTTTTATTTTGAGAACAATTAGCGTAAATATTCATACAATGCGCTCTAAAAGGATTTATGTTGTAGCTAATGAACTAACGCATCGGAACAAACCTATTATTAATTTGTGCATGGTGAAATCCAGTGTTGGAAAAATATTAAAAAATCAAATCTCATCAACGCCCAAGATCACGCTTGATTTTAGTGGACAAAAATCAACAAGCAAACAACTGCGGTTGAGTTTGCAAGCTGTGATATCGCAGCTCGGAATATCAAGCTAACAAAACTCATCAGCTGCAAATCTCAGCAAACTGTGGTGAGATTGAGTTTCATAATTTTTGCTTTACACCCGAATGCAATCGAAACTTCCATAACGGCTGGCAGCAGTCGCTTCGTGTCTGCCATCGGTGAAGAGTAAAAAGAGATAGCATAATATACTTTCTCTTTCTAAGTAAACGATGTGCAACGGAATCATTTTTGTGTCGAGTCAACTCTCAGCTTGATTTTTGCTCAATTTGAAACAAGAAAGTTCGCTCGCTAAATAAAATTTTGCGAAATTCGCATGGCATGAACTTTAGACTAAAAAAAGGGCGGAATTTCAAAATCACCATATCGAGAAAAACGCTTCCGAATTTTGGTGACAACTTCTGGATGATTTTATTAGCTTGACATACAGTAATTGTGTAATCTAACATCATGAATCACAAAAAACTACTGGTCGTGAAATTGAGAAGAAAACATCTATCGCTCAAGCTATGTTCGCTGGAAAGCTGCTTACGGGTGACATTTACTGTCCAACACTGCTGTCACAGCTAAATATGAAGGCCCCTGAGAGCAGTGCGTAAAACAGTCAGGTTCATTGAATTATTTTCGTATGAATATGAACTTCCATCTGCCTCATCATTCACTGCCTCGTGAGAGTCTAAATTATTGAGAGGTAAACGAGTCACTGACAGCCGAGCACTCAGTCAGTAGCTCAGTCAGCATGTTTATTCTGCCGTGATAGTACTCAATACTTGTTTTGAATGACTGAGCGTACATTTTCTATGGAAAAATGACTCAATTACATGCTGTGTGAGCGAAGGCAAGCGGTGTGAGTCGCCTGTTCGTGAGTGACTGAATATTTTTATTGGCTCTTTCATTGTCTCGTCCCTTACCGTTTGGTACAAACGGTCTGCACAGAGCAATGGATTGAATAGTGCAGTGCTTTCACACTCAAGGGCCACCCACATTAGATCCGTTTGCGTTGCGTTGACGTAAATTTGACAGATAGATTTAGCTGTCACTTTGCCGCAACGCGTCCGATCCGGATCTAATGTGCGTGGGCCTTCAGTGTAAGCAGTCAATAATTTTACGCTCTGCCTGAGAGGTCTCTTCGTCAACGCGACTTTCTGTTTTTGGAACCACGGAGCCGGAATTATACACAACACGAGCCGGCAATTCAACAACTTTTTTTTATATGTTCGACTTCAATGTATCAGCTGACGTGTTTCGTCATCGGCTACTTGGCCTTTTCCGTACCGTTGACCGTAACTATTTAGTTTAAGTTTTATTCATTTAGACAATAATTGTCAGTTGAATTTTTCAATAAACAATCTTACATATTGTTACCCCCAGGATCTTCCACCCTTTGAACTGCCAACACTGGTGATACGCCGTGGAAATACACCCTCGGGATTTTTGTTTGCTGTTCCGCCTTGGTTCTTCTTTCACAAATTTTGTGAGAGTGGAATTACGCCCGGAGATTTGTTGGTCTTCTCCCTAATAAACAAATACCATAAACTGTATCCCGGATGTGTAAACTATCCCACAAATTGTTTGAACGATACCCTGAACACGTCGTTAAGCTCTCTTTTATGGTTATTTTATTAGGGCTTTTTGTTCGTTGTTTACTTATCAATCGGATACATTTCAAATGAATCGGGCGTGACTATAAACTACAGAATCAGCTGTACATGTTTTTCCAAAAGTGATATGTTATCCAAACCATAAGACGATAACATTTTATTCCAAATATTGTGAAGAAGTTACGAATGGTGAATTCATATAGTTTTTTTAAGAGTGTTATACAAATATGCCCAGTGCATTAAGGAAGGGAAAGGTTTCTTGGAAAATAACAGGATCAATGTTATGTATGGTTATTTTTGAACCTTTGATAAGTACATAGTTTTTTCTAGCAGATTCAGAATCTTAGAATTCTTCGTTTCTTCGTCTATAACTATGCCAGCCACGCGCTTCTGATATCCTATGTTTGCCAGCATGTATGATGATGATTTTGTGCTATGAAATGGTGCATATGATTTATTTATTTGAAAACTAGCGTAGCCTGATAAAAAAAAAAGCATTCAACATCCACTACCATAAGAGTAACATGTTTCGATGTTACTTATTTCACAGATAAACAGACATAAAACATTGAATATTTTTCAATATAGAACATCGTCGTTAAAACACTATCGCCATCTATCTATACTGTGATGGGCAGTAAATTGACCGTTAAATGCGTGTTCGATGAACAACTTGGGAGTGTTATGTCTGTTTCTCTGTGCTTATTCTAACAATCAAACCAACCAATAAACATGAGGGGAAATTTAGACACTCATCCAGGTTCAATGCTTCTGCTAGAATGTACGTTTGCATTTGTCTGTTGACCATCTAGCTATAAGTCGGTAGAACATATTTAAGCTCCCTCATGTATATATGTATTATCGTTCATTACTCCTAGTTCATAAGATTTCCGTGAACGTTGTTCATCGAGTCATAGAGATAAAAAGATGGAGCGTATTTTGAATTACTCCTCCCTGTTGGGTCCATGTTTTAAATGATTTTCTTTTCTCTTTCTTATTTCTTGCTGCATTATCAATTACCACATTTTGACAACTCGTTAAACAACAGCTACGTGGGACGCCATTGCGCAGCATCGACCGCCACCGGTTCGAAGGCGCAGCACACTAAGGAACTGAAGAGTTTGCTGGACAACGCGATGGCCTTGTAAAACAACAACGCGAATATACAAATTTCTCTATCCCTGTAAACCCCACATCCAACAGATTATATTCTACAGCAGTTTCAAAAACTACAACTTCAGCTACTACTACGTAAAGATGATCAACACAAACACATTAACAAAATCAAACACACACACACACTTCTATGCAGGAGAAAACTTACTATCGATGCTACTATTACCGTTGAAGCGAAACTCTGCTATTTAGAAGATAGGTATTTATTCAAAGCAGTGCGACCAGATACTAAAACGGAATGGAAATTAAGTTTGATTTGAACAGTCACAGGAAGTGTACTATTAATTTATTAAAAAGTTTGCGGTAAAAGATCAAACTTGTTCTTTTTTGTTCATACGAATGAAGCTAAGCTACGCAATTGCAAAGTGTATATTTAAAGTATTTATCGTTAGGATAATAGCGTTAGTAGAAGTAATACTAGTTGTGTCGAACATTTCAAGAAACTGAATAAAACACAAACTATAGAAACAAGAATCGTTTGAGCGTATACCTTAATGCAGCAGGTGTTTTGAAGGTTCATTCAACCCCGGTTGCCCTGCAACAATTTTGTCCGAAGGGCTCCGGCTGAGCAAACTGAAATGGATAGTGACTTTTTAACAATCAAAAATTAAAAAAAAAAAACCCTTTGATATTATCCTTGACTAATGGAATGCATATACCCTACATATTTTGAAATGGAAATGCAAGAAAAATGAGCTTAGGTGACTTTCATTAAAAAATTATCCTTTCATGATGTTGCCGTAGCGGCTCTAACTACGCTTTATACTGATTAGAAAATATTCGGTTAATCTTTAGGTTTTAGACTCTAGAGGATCTTCTCGTCAGTATATAAACTTATTAATAGAAATGAGGAAATTGTTCACCTGGAATCTATGATACCCAATTAAAGTATGCTTGAAGAAAGCAAGTAGTTTCCTTTGCAATCCTAATCGAGATACGAGTTTCAAGCGTTACCGATAATTGAAGTGTGTACAAAACGAGCGTTGATGAAGTCTTTCGTAAAGTATTAGTTATGAAGTTGAGTGCGCTAGGACGTTTTGCTGAATCCACGATGGAGTCGAGAGCTAACCTAGGACCGGAAAATGACCAGTTTCATATTCTAATATGGCCGGTAGAGAGCATTGCTGTTGTTATTCACAATTTATTTTGAGAACATTTTTTAAATAAACGCTGAATTTGGTGTCCCATCAATCTTACTATGTTAGATCGTAATTATTTATTTCAAAGGTGAATTCATGTCTTCCATGATATGAGAAAACCTTCCGCTAGACCGCTAGAATTTTATTTTCGGAAATAAAAAAAGCACATCAAAATATAAATTAAAATACCAACAAAAAAAAGTGCATAATTTTTTTTCTCAAGTGAATATTCATTTCCATGTGAAAGTTTATTTTTATTTAGTTTGTGATATCACATGTTCCTTGGTTGCAACTAGTGCCAAAGAGGTATTCACCCCTATTCTGTATTTCGTTGGTACGAAACGGATTTCACATAGAAATAAAATCGAATGGAATAGAAAATGGGGGTGATTGCTTTTGTATTATTTTAAATTTCTTCAAGTTAGGTGAAAATTAAATATCAAATGGTGCTGGAATTAATGTTGAAATTTTCCGATCGATGCTTGGCGATTTTACAAAACTTTCTAAAATCTACTAAATGATAGAGACATACATACTACCCCAAAACAAATCTACATATGAGGTCAAACAAAAACTGTACCTTGCATCATTTTCTATGAATATTACACTGTATAACATAATCTTCAAATGGCAGAGCAATTCTGCAAATATGTTTTATGTTAGTGTAATAACAGGATAAATGTAACCTACTTTTTTAGAGTAATCTTTTCAACACACAGCCCGTGACGACAAAAATGTAAAATAGCATTCTATATTTTGAGATCTGCACTTACATCGTTAGCACTTTGCACATCAATGGAAATAAAATAAGAAGAAGAAGAAAACTGTTATAGCTAAAACATATGATCGCACCAAGACAAAAGTGATATTAAAGCATGTGCTGGTTTAAGTGAAATAAAAAAAAAGCAAACATGGTAGGAGATTAAAACTTTGCTATTGCTATCCTTAGTGATGTATCACCCTGTCCCAATAGCGTTTCACCACACCGCTTTTAGATATTCACCCGTACACACGTAGCCGAATGCGGTCGGAACTGATCGGTAGGAGAAATTTCATTCACGTCGTTTCGTGTCGAATATCGTGATTGAATCCTTCCAGCCTTCGGAATAGCTTCTCCGCTTGTCGTATTCCTGCTGCAGTTTCGTTTTGCAGGACAGACGTTGTCGTCGCCGTAAAATCCACCACCGGGATTTATGGGGTGTTTACACTTATACTATTCCATTAGCACTAATGAGCCAGCTGCTAGCAAAAAAGCTCAGCAGCATTATGTAAACAGGTCATCAGCATCTACCAGCATGAGATTTCTGGTGGGCGTGTGCCAGATTTGGATTTTTCAGATATAATCCTAAATAGGACCTAGATTATTTAATACTCTAGTAACCTCAAGTCCGTGCTCTGTCACAATGTTTCATTGTGATTAATCAACACTCAAATGGGTAAAGTATAAAGTTTAAGGCGAATTAGAAAGAAAGGGAACTTGGAGTGTAGAGCCCACTGGACGATTCTGAAGCCTGGCCAAGTGAGTGGGGTATGAGTTTATTTGATTAAACGTAATTTCCAATTTATATGTTGATACATTCAAACCATTGGCATTTAGTATTAGAGATTAGACAGAGATAGGATGCGGAGGGCCCACTTAGGGGGAGCGTAACCCATGTTATGGTTTCCATTTATTAAATAGTTCAGATAGGCTACAAATGACAGGTTCATAGTGAGAGAATGTACCATATTGGGAAAGCATAATCACAGACAAACAGACATAACTCTCGCAAGTTGTTCATCGAACAAGCATTTAACTGTCAATTTAAAAGTATCGTAGTTAGTAGTACCGCCACCTGTGGCGCGCATAGTCAATTCCCTTGCGTTTGACGTTTACACACTACCGCCATCTATTCAGCGTACTACCCACCACAGTGTACTCAAGAGATGGCGGTAATGTTTTAGCTACGATGTTTTACAGTGAGAAATATACAATGTGTTATGTCTGTTTGTCTGTGGCATAATGTTCATACTTGAAGGGTTCAGAGCGGCTGAGGCAATTTGGCTCTAGTTCAATTTTAAACTTGTTCTGCATTATTCACATGTTGCAATTATTGAAAAAAAAACTCGATATAAAGTAGCTTTATACAATTAAATAGAAATGCCAAAATTTTACCGAGTAGTTTCTCTTCTGATTTCGGTACAGTTTGTTGAGATCGGATATAGTTTCTGAGCACGGATTCCCATTTTGAAATAACTCAGATTAGCACAGAGTAATAGTTTCTAACTTTCTTTGGGGATTGTCTTTTCTTCATACATTTCCCATTATTCATACTATATTAATCATGATCAGTCTTAGAAAATGTGATATGTTTGAGCCCAGTTCTAGATTAGTTTGGTATTAATATCTTTTGAAATGCCCTCGCGAGAGGTTTAACATGAATTTGCAGTTGGGGAAGGGGGGTGCTAATTTGTCATTTGTTTTTGAATAATTTCAGGTGTTAATATACCGTGCGGTTCAACCAATTATGGAACGGTCAATGTTTAGTGCCAGGTATCAGTATACCGTACGGATCAGCCATAGCTATGGACCTAGGAGGCAACTAATATTTTCGTTCTTTATGTTCTTTTCTTTCAGCAAATTGATATCTCTTACTCTTTCCCTCTCCATCTCTTTCTATCCCTATTTAATGTATCGGTGTGATTCTGTGACACTACCCCGAATGTCACTACCCCGAACGCCATAACCCCGAACGCCATTACCCCGAATGCCACTACCCCGAATGTCCTACTACCCCGAATGCCCTACTAGCCTGAATGGCCATTACCCCGAAATTAAGACAAATGAAAGAACAGCAAGGGGTCAAAAGAAGGGTACATTTTTAGAAGGAAATTTCGTTTTGGAATTTATACTGAATACAAATGATAATTTTTTATTGGAATTTTGAAGCTTGCAAGCGAGCAAGCTTGTTTTACGCGAGAAGCCCGAGAGATGTCGTTACTGAGGTCCTATATTTTGAGATACTATGTTTTCAAGAAAAACTTTTTCAAAGTGTTATGTCTGTTGTCTGTGATTAAACTCTCTGATTAGTTTCACTTTACTAAATTGATGATACACTACGTTTACTTTTATGGAACTATGTATTTATCAATTCCAAACCATTTTAAAGCTCTTTAGAAAATGACAACCTTCAAGTTTGCGAGCACTTCGTTCACCATTTAAAAAGTCATAGGGGGTAATATGCAATCCAATTCAATATGCAATACCAGTCGGAAACTGTTAAACCTTATCAAAGAATTGTTCGACCTGAGTGTAGACCTGAGTTGAAGAATTTCTCGTTTTGGATTGAAAAATCGGTGCATGGAACGTTGAACTATCGATTACAAATTTATAACATTATTCCACACGTTATTATCCCAAATGGTCATTACCCCGAATCCCTTGCCAAAAGCTATTGATTACATATTTTCCTTATATATTAAAAGAAGGGAATATTCCCTTCCCTTCTTTATCATACATCCAAAGAATAAATTATTTTCTTTTTATATATTCAAAGAAAGGAATATTCCCTTCTTTATCGTTCATCCAATAATTAATTATTTCCTTTTGTTATATTTTCAAAGAAGGGAATATTCCCTTCTTTATCATATATTTAACGAATTGATTATTTTCTCTTTTATATATTAAAAGAAGGGAATATTCCCTTCTTTATCGTATATCCAAAGAATTAATTATTTCCTATTGTTATATTTTCAAAGATGGGAAACCCCCTTGAGCCATTAAGGGGCTGTTCATTAACTACGTAGACAGTTTTTTTGGGATTCTTGACCCCCCCCCCCCCCCCTCCCCTGCGTAGACAATTTTCCATACAAATTTTTTAAAATTTGTATGGACCGTGCACAATTGCCCCCTTCCCTAAACTGTCTACGTAATTTATAAACTTTTATAAGTTTTTCTTTTCTTTTTATATACACGAAAGAATATTCCAGGAATGACTATAATAAGCAAAAATAGTCAATCTAATACATGGCATACTTTTCTGGGGAATGGTACATTCTGGGGAATGGTTCATTCTGGGAAATGCTTTTCTGGGGAATGAGATTCTGGGAAATGGTTTTCGGCGGAATGGTTTTCTGGGGAATGTTATAGAATCCTATCATTTGTATTCAGTATAAATTGACCACTTTGTCAAGCAGTTTTGGCGTGACTTTCTACCAGCGATTTCACAAAACTGGACCAACTAATTTCTATTTTTAATTATAAAACGCACAAATGTTGGCTACTTTTCTCGAGGTTCTAGAAGAAAAAATCTCAAAATAATGTTTTATTTCAAAGTTCGAGTGGTAGTAAACGTCATTTTAAGTGCTCGAATGAAGTGGTTAATTAGAAAAGAAAATTTCCTTCTCAAAAATTTATCCCTTGCTGTTCTTCTATTTGTCTTAATTTCGGGGTAGTCGCCATTCGAGGTAATGGCCATTCGGGGTAACGGCGTTCGGGGTAGTGTACCGTTCGGGGTAACGGCGTTCGGGGTAACGGCGCTCGGGGTTATGGCGTTCGGGGTAGTGACATTCATGGTAGTGTCACAGAATCATCGGTGTACTAGTTTAGACATTTTGCGCCGGCTAGTCACGATTGCGGCATGCTATACGGTCTGGCATGTTTTAACGCTTAGGCTTGGTAGCTCCTCACCAAACACGATGGGTTGGCAGTGGCCACCAGGGTGAGGGCTGATAAATTACAATTACAATCAGCATCTACCAGCATGAGATTTCAGGAGCAACTGAAACTCGTGCTAGTTGGCTAGTACACTAGCGTTAGCAAATCCGCACAGTGTATACATTCCAATAAGGAGCTCGGTGGCACAGCTTACTGAGCAGATCTTGGGTCCAATTCCAAGCTCCTTCGTATTGAAGAGTTCTAAGTATCATGAAGGTATCATTGTTCAAGAAGGGGGTCCATGAAAACTTTCTGTAGTAGTCTGCAGAGATTTTTTTTTTCAAATCACTTCTGGGACATGTAAATTTTACATGTCATCAAATTCCAAGAACCATTAGTCTCAAGATCACACTCGTGGGACCCTGTTTCAAATATTTTCCCAAGCTAACGAACTGTATAAATCGGTTCGATGATCGAAGACACATGTCAGCGATTCCACTTTCTGTCCCATAAGGATCATGTTCACAATTCACTGTTGCCAAGGATTTGCTACCAAGCAGCTATAACCGCCTTCTCCATTACACACACTTTTCTCTCAGTTAACCACACTCTCAATTTAAATATCGATCGCTGATTGGTGATAGTTTACATAAAGCAAGAGAGAATGTCTCCATTTCTGTTGTCTCCCGTAGGTAATATTGTATTTCGAATTCAGCCAAATAAAGGAGAATCGTTCTAACCGTCAACCGAGAACGGTCTATCAATATACAAGTATCACATCCCGTGTCTGGGAAGAAACCCAATAAGTTAAAACGTAACACTTCCCCTAAATTTGTTTTCGAACTTACCCCGATTTCATCCGACTTCCTTCAGTAGTTTCTTCTAGCAGATTGTGAAATTTTTTAACAGATTTCCTTTGAAAGATCCTTCAGACATCCCCAAGAAGTTTTTTTAACTTCCTCGTGTGTGTCTGTTTATGAGAGTGTGAACAACGAAAACAAAAGGCGTGTTGTCAGCAATAACTGAACCGAACTGGATGCAATAACCATTAAATGAAAGCTTTTATAGTCTCATATAACACTTTTGAATATCTTTGGAATCGGTCAATAATTGGTTCCGGAGATATGCACGGAACAAGATCCGAAAAATACCGATTTTGGGAACTATGTCGTAATTCTCGGCAACCACTTAACCCAATTGGAATGAATCACCAAATGAATGGTTTCATGGTCCCATATAATGCTTTTGATTATTTATATAATCGGTCAACTGTTTCCGGAGATATGCACGGAAGAAGATACCAAATACATGGATTTAGGAAACTAGGTCGTGTTTCTCGACAAGCACTGAGGACACAATAACCACTAAATGAAAGGTCCTAAGATCCTATAGAACTCTTTTGAATATTTTTAGAACACGTATACTGGTTCCGAAGATATTGCCGAAACACGATCCGGTTTTATGGGCCATGAGACTAAATCCGTCCTTAAACGAACAAAAATCATCGTGTGATACCTCAAATGAAAAAAGAATTCAAAATCCAGTTCAATTGTAATCATTTGAAGCGCCCAAGACACACTGGCCATGTTTCAGGAGCCCCCAGAAAGTGGCCAGACTCTTACTTGGGTCAAAATCCATCATACGATACCTCAAATCACACCAGAATTCATCTACCAAATCACATCATATGGTGGAATTGTTATCAGTAAGCAGGGTCAGATTACTCCATAGGAGTATTAATTCAGGTTTTTACAACTTCCCCTGGAAGGTTCTTCTGATTTCCCATGGCAGATTCTTCTCACTTCCACCCAGTGACGTCGTGTAACCTCAATGTTTACTTGTGAACTAAATGTTAGAACGTGATATTAGCAATATTTATATTCAATGCGATTCGAAACCAGGGTTGCTTCCACTCACTTGCTATAAAAAATATTTTTCGGAATTATGCAATCATTAGACTACCCATAATCGCATATCAGTCCCATCTTTGCTTGATTTCCTATCCATATGGGACTGATATGCGATTATGGGCAGTAGATGTTTTAATGATATGTTGTACTAGTATGTTGTACTAGTAAGTAACAAGAAGAGGGTGTAAAGTATGTGTTTGACTCATAAAATCTGTCAATTTCGCTTTCAGAGGAATATTGACAGATTTTATGTGTCAAACACATACTTCAGGACCTCTTCTTGTAACTGACAAGTACTAATTAGCATTATACTATTTCATGATTTCATAATTCCCAAAAATATTTTTTTTATAGCAAGTGACTGGAAGTAACCCTGCTTAAAGGTCTTAAAAACATTACTTCGCTAGTCTATTAAAAATTTGTCAGGGACATTTTGTGCAAATGATTTTATAAAATCTACATTTTCAGTCAGTATCCGCCTCTTTCGCAAGTATAAAAATCTATAGGAGGGTCTGGAACAATTTTATTTTGTGTTTTTTAGAGTAAATCACTTCCAACGTTGATACTACTTAGCCTCAAAATGAGAAAAGCACCGGAGGGACCTAACATTTCAGTCAGTGTCTCTTTAATTCTGTAAGTCACCAGTTGCCCTACAGCTGTCTACAGCAGCAGTCGATTTTTTATTTCGTTGTGAACCACACGATAGCCTGTTTTCGAGACTCGCTATTATATAGTTGCTCTTTGTTCGTTGCTAGCAGTTCAGTGCCTTTTGTTACTACGGTGCAAGATGTGTGAAGTAAAAAACACCATCAAGTTTAGCTTCAGCCATTGTGATGCCAAACCAAACATCGGAGAGATAGTAAATTTCGCCAAAGCACTCGACGCGGATCCGGCTGAAATGGAAGCTGTTTATCGCATTGGTGAGGAAAGGGGAGTCTTCATGAAGTTCAAATCAGAGGAAGCGATGCTCCATGCTCTGACATTCAATTCGGAGGATTTAATCTTCCATTATGCGAATGGAACGACGGCAAAGGAACGCATGTCGCATGCTGGTGAATTCATTCAATATGTGCGTGTGTATGACTTGCCACCAGAGGTACCCGACAACGAGCTGGATAAAGTGCTGGGGAAATATGGGAAAATTAAACGCATCATCCGGGAGAAATTTCCAACTGATCTGTGTTTTGAGGTGTATACAGGGATACGCGGTGTATATATGGATGTGAAGAAGGAAATCCCCACGTCATTACATTTCTTCAATCGCAAAGGAAACATTTTTTATGATGGCAACAAAGACAAATGTTTTCTGTGCAAGGCGGACGGACACCGGAAGCTTTCCTGTCCCAAGCGGAAGGCTCGGAAGGAACCGGAGAAGCAACTGAAGGAAAAAGGAAAGCAAAGTGAAAGAAAACAACACAGCAGCAGTACGTATGCTGGTGTAGTGGTGGAAGGTGCGTCGTTTGTCATTAGCGATCAGGAAACGGATACGGGGTTGGAGATGTTGAATGCAGATAACGAAATGGACGTGACTACCCCGACGACCGACGAGAGTAGCGGAGAGCATGCAACGGGAAACGATGTCCAGAAACAGCAGCAGCGATCACGATTCGGGTTCAATGAAAATGAGGAACAAATTCGGGAAAGAAAGAAGTTGCGTGCACGGGAGAAGATCGCTTTGTCGCCGCTTCGATCGCCACCCAGAAAAATGATATGATAAAATATATTTGTACATATTTTTCTTTTGTATTTTGAGTACCATAATTGGTATTCTATGTTACTCGGCTCCGCTAAGTTATTTTTATAACATTTGAGCCTGCCAAATAAACGAAATGAAAAAAAAAAAAAAAAAAAATTCTGTAAGTGTTGCTGAACGTTTGATACGTCTAGGCATCGAACTGAAAACATCTATTCCTTTCAAAAATGATTAATTTTGTGAAGCACATGTTAAGAAATGTGGTTTTCTTACTTCATCCGCTTGTCTAGTATTATATCTATGAAAGTCACCTTCCTCTTTCAATTCGGTCACACAAATATCGCGGCAGCAAAACTTTAACTACTTTAAAAATGAACACTATAGATATATCTTTTTTGTTACCAATTCATCCATCAAATTCATTCCGGCAGATACATCGGAAGGCCTTGCTCCGGCTCAACAGCTATTGTGAATAGAATATCCCATGAACATGAAGTTCAAGATTTGATCGATCAAGCTATGCTCATTCCTCCTACAAGAAGCCCTGACAAACCAACAGATGGTGAAAATTCTAATCAAATCAAACCCTGCTTGGAAGTAACGATTGATGATCAATATCCGGTGACACCTGAAAAGCCGAAAAAATCATGCATTTCCTTCAAAAACATCAAACTGATTAGCCAACCCACATTGTAAGATGTAATTCTCAATTTATTGTAATTTTCTTGAAAACACACACTTACTGAATTTGGTTATTAAATTAAGATGTGAAAAATAGGTAATGATGTTGCTTATCTTCGTCGACGTTCCCCGGACGATTTCTTCAGCTTCTTCGGTCCTTTCACGAAGCACCAATCGACTGCAATGGTTTGTCCAAGAATTTCAGATGCGTTAAGTGCCTCTTTTGCGGCCAATGCTTGCTTGTACGTTTCGTATTCGACCAGAGCATACCCCTTCAGGAATCCCGTACGACGATCGAGATTCAGATGGATGTTCTTGATGTCACCAAACTCGCAAAACTTTTCCTGTATGTCATCTTCCTGGGCTTCCTCGTGGATCGCTGTCACGAACAAAATCCACCCCTCGACGGAACGCTGCGGACCGGGTTCGGCTTCCTCCTCGTCGTCCTGTAGCCGTTCGTAGTCGATTGCCTCACGGGGGATGCTTTCGTTGCCGAATCCGCGTCCCTTTCGTTTACGTGCCTTTTCCTTGAGCCGGGCGATGCCCTGATCGCCGTCTTCGTCCACTTCGAACTCCTCATGGTTGTAAATATCGAGCACGTCGGCCATCGTTTAATGTGAATGTTAATTAACCGTGATTTAATGGATTGTTCTAGGTAAAAATTTCACTTTTTCTACTGCGTGCTCCCACCAATGTTTGCAAACTTTCTTAAATTTTCGGTGTAAAATTTGTGATCGTCGAGCAAATCGTGCCAGCGGGTGACAGTTGACAGACGTGAGCGAAGAATATACACGCTATTTCCAAACTACCCAAATTTGGGTAGAATCCAACCAGATCGGTCAAAACTGAACCTACCCAAAATGGGTAAACATGTATTTACCCAAATCTGGGTAAACGTAGCAGCGACAGAAACTGGGTAACGGTTACTCAGATGTTGAAATTTGATAACAGGGTAAACTTTACCCATTTTATTAGCAATTAGATGATATGACCGCTGCAGTAGTGAAAGCTCAGCTAGTTGGTGAGGCATGCAACTCTAATATAAATAATTCGTTGGTATCAATAAATCAGTGTCAACATTTCAAAGGGGCGTAATTGCATTTATAAACAATGACTTTAGCCGTCGATTTCTCGTGAATTAAAACTTACTCATGAAGATTAATGACACCAGCAGGTAGAGGAATGTTTCCTTTACCAGCTAGCATTGTTAATTTGTAGGGATGGACTTTTATTTGCGAGAAATTGATAGCTAAAGCCATTGTTTACAAAAGCAATTACGCCCCTTTGAAATGTTGGCACTGAAATACAGAATTATAATTTTCATAATGTGTTTTCAATATTCTTCCTGGACGAAATAATTTATATATTATTAAAGACTTTAGTATCTTTACTTTACATAGTTTTCATGGGGCATACATTCGTGTCTATCAAAATGGGTAAGGATTACTCAGTTGACAAATGTCATCATCTGAGTAACGGTTACCCAGTTTCCGCCATATGCACATTTACTAAAATTTGAGTAAAAGCATGTTTACCCATTTTTGGGTAACTTCCTTTTAGGCTGAACTGAGTGATTTTTTGACTCAAAAATGAGTAGCCTCAAAATAGCGTGTACACTGCAACTGCCATGTACCCATTAATGGGTAAAAAAGGACCCATTTTTGATGACTATATGAGACTGTCAAATAATAGTTGAAGTTCAATTTCAAATAATGGGTACTCTTTTACCCATTTCTCAGAGCACTTCGGGCGAGAATAATGAGTACTTTTTTACTCATTAATGGGTGAAAAGCAACTTAGATAACATCTTCCAGTCCTCTCTTCAGTCGCAAAGTATCTTGACGATGTCGAATGGAAATTGCTCGTTTGAAAAGTAGGTAGGGGAAACGCTCCAATAGTTGCGGTACGTTAGAAGCGTTAGGTTCCTATAGTTGTGCATGGAGACTCAATACACATACAATACACATTAATGGGTGAAAAGTGCCCATTTCGAAGTAAAGTAGATAAACTCATTTAATGGGTAAAACGTCTTTACCAATTATTGGTACTTTTTTACCCATTTTTAAATAATGATTGGCTTTCTAAAATGGGTACAAAGTACCCACTTATGAAATCCTTAAGCCTTGATTTTTCTTTCAGAATTTGTATGATTTATGGATCATTGAAAGAGTCACAATGAATAGTTAAGAATACAAAATGTTATTTATATTTATACCTTTATTTCACCATTTTCCATCCTGTGGTCTTTCCATTGTTCGTTCAACAAATGGTGCACGCAAAGCTCTCCTGGAATGTCTTTGCTGATGCAGCTAGTTCTGTCCATGCAAGTTTCAGATTACTTTTTAGATGTGGGCAGAAAGAAATAAAATAAGAAATAGGGTAAACGCTCCTATAGTTGCGGTACGTTAGAAGCGTTAGTATTGAGTCTCCATGCACAACTATAGGAACCTAACGCTTCTAACGTACCGCAACTATTGGAGCGTTTCCCCTACCTACTTTTCAAACGAGCAATTTCCATTCGACATCGTCAAGATACTTTGCGACTGAAGAGAGGACTGGAAGATGTTATCTAAGTTGCTTTTCACCCATTAATGAGTAAAAAAGTACTCATTATTCTCGCCCGAAGTGCTCTGAGAAATGGGTAAAAGAGTACCCATTATTTGAAATTGAACTTCAACTATTATTTGACAGTCTCATATAGTCATCAAAAATGGGTCCTTTTTTACCCATTAATGGGTACATATACATACAACTATAGGAACCTAACGCTTCTAACGTACCGCAACTATAGGAGCGTTTACCCTATTTCTTATTTTATTTCTTTCTGCCCACATCTAAAAAGTAATCTGAAACTTGCATGGACAGAACTAGCTGCATCAGCAAAGACATTCCAGGAGAGCTTTGCGTGCACCATTTGTTGAACGAACAATGGAAAGACCACAGGATGGAAAATGGTGAAATAAAGGTATAAATATAAATAACATTTTGTATTCTTAACTATTCATTGTGACTCTTTCAATGATCCATAAATCATACAAATTCTGAAAGAAAAATCAAGGCTTAAGGATTTCATAAGTGGGTACTTTGTACCCATTTTAGAAAGCCAATCATTATTTAAAAATGGGTAAAAAAGTACCAATAATTGGTAAAGACGTTTTACCCATTAAATGAGTTTATCTACTTTACTTCGAAATGGGCACTTTTCACCCATTAATGGGTACTTTTCAGTTACAGTGTATACGCTATTTTGAGGCTTCTCACTGACTATAGATCGCACTGATTTTTGCATGCTGTACACTCAAAAATATTACAAAACGAATATAGATTAATTTTTATGCATTTTATGGTTTTTCAAAATTAAATAAACTAAATAAACTAGATAAACATTTCAAAAGGTCCTATCTGCATTGATCGATTCTCTTCATCGACTTTCTCTTCCGTCAATAACTCAGCTGCAAAACCTTTCCCTGTTGTATTTGACGTTTTGGACGCTAGATAAGAACCTCCTTTATCAAACTATGTGGTAGAATTAGCGCAAAATCTGTTTGCATAGCAGTGGTTATGAAAAGAGAAAGTCGATGAAGAGAATTGATCAAAGCAGATAGGACCATTTGAAATGTTCATCGAGATTTATACATTGGTTCGATTAAAATTTTCGTCAAAATTATACTAAGTCAGAATAACGGAGTGGAATTCGGTCAGTGTTTACTAAAATGACAGGAATAAGAACATCTGGATTCCCTTCGGAGCTTCGTGCTGGTGAAGAGCTTTGTCCTGGCGGATTTCTACTGCGCATGTGATCTGCTGGGCAGCATCGAAATTGTAAGTATTTTTTTTAATATTATCCATAAAAAAATAAACTAATTAAAAAAGCTTCCTGAAACAGCTTTTATTCTTATTTGAAAACAATAATATTTACCATAAATAAAAAAAGAAGCGAAAAATACATTCTCTAGAATAAACCGAATCTATGCATTGTAAGTATATTTCGATTTTATACTATGGCACGCATAAACCATTTTTATACTAAGTTTGCATTCTCTCCCTTTATACCGACCTTTGCGTTGGTACGGAGAGTTGCGATTTAGCGTAACTTTTATACTATTTAGATTTCAATATTTTTTGAGTGTATGAAGTTGTCAAAAATGAGTACACTGGTTTTGCTCCTATGAGTGGAATCTACCCAGATTCTGCGTAAATGGTTCTGATATCCATTTAATAATGGTGAACTTTGAAGTTGTGAGCAGGCGATTTTTTGCGCAGAAAGTCTAAAATTTGTTTTTAGCTTTGAAGCAGGGAAAATGAATAGCTACTTAATAGCCTCATACTTAATCTAGCTCGGTAAAATCTCCAACAGCCGATTACTTTTGCTGATATCATTGAAAAATATCTGTTTGTTAGCTGATATCTCAGCAAAATGTTATTTGTTAGCCGAGGTTGTGCTCCATTTGGTGAATTTTCACTTTTTGACTCAATTTTGACAAACACCTTTTTGAAAATCGGATGATCAACAAGAGAGGGATTTTCGAAGAGTATAATTTATTTTCGAAGCCTCAAATTTAAGTGAAAATTCACCAAATTGAACACAGCCTGAGTCTCAGCAATTGGGTTCTTTAAGAGTATTGAGGTAAATGCATATTCTTTTTGCTGGTTTAAATTAAATACCCTCACCAATAGATTTTTGCAGAAAACACTTTCATTTAATTTTACTATTATTTCTATAAAAATACGCATTTTGAGCAAGAATCGTAGTTTTTCCAGAATCATAGTAAATTTGTTAACATTCATAGTCAACTATACTGAAATCATTGTAGATTTAACGGTAATAAGTGTGGTTATAATGAAAATAAGTGTTTTCTGCAAAATAGTATTCCTAACTATGGTGCTTGTTTCAGACGTATAGGATTGATATGGGATTACCAGTCTTCTGCATTTATATAAGGTGTGAGCCAACATACAGCTTGCTGGTGTTAGAAGCAAAAATGTTGTAAACATTGCTGAACATCTGCGAATAGATAAAAATACATCACTGCCAACATACTGAGAACAGATAGAAGTACGTCACTGCCAACAGCTGTTTCGAGTAAAAAGATAAACATTGCAATAAAATACGAACACCACTAAACATTTGCCATGAACCATGATAATTAAATACCATAAACTAACGGTAACCCAAATTGTCGAACTTTTCCAAAAATGGTTTGGATGATACCCCAAACCTCGCACCAAACATGTCGTTTAGCAAAATAACCATACGAATTCGTGCTAAAAGGGCTTAACAAGTTTTGTGTACAAAAGTTGATAGGTCCGTTAAGAACTAAATGATCAACATATTTGTTCCGTCCACTAGCGGTCCTACGTCAAGCATCCGTTCGTGCCCCTAGGCACAGACCCTGCTACTTTTTTATATCAACGAGGACAAATCGACAGTGAGCATGCATAAGGGCCTATACGCGAAGATCGATTCTCTTAGTCGATTTTCTCTTTTGTTAATAACTCGTTAGATTTAACGTTTCTCGGTGCGTTTGCTGTTGCTTTTGCTAGCCAATACAACCTGTTATTACTCTACATTAAACAAATTCTAGAAAATTGTTTCACTTAGCTGTAGCAATGCAAAGAGAAAATCGATGAAGAGAATCGATCATCGCGTATTCGCCCTTATGCATACTCACTGTCAAAATAACCAAGCGCCTGCATCCTCCATCTGAAAAATGGGTATTTGTCAACCCATTTTACGGTAAACACAATTTAAGAAAATGGTTAAAAAAACACCCATTTATTGAGACTTCCCATTTACCCATTAGTGAGTAAACCACAGTTCTAGATAGAGCTAGAATTAGGGCGTAACAGCTTTTGTAAACAATGACTTCTCTCGGTGATTTCTAGAAAGTTAAGGTTCGCCCTCGGGCTCGCCCACGCAAATTGCAACATCATCATTGGATAGGGGAAGACTTCCCCTACCTGAAGGTTATGTTGATTTGTGTGGACGTGCCTTGAATTCCTAGAAATCATCGAGAGAAGTCATTGTTTACAAAAGCTGTTTCGCCATAATTCCAGCTCTATCTAGAGTTAACCTAAACAGTAACCGCGAAATACCCAATAATGACTATAAAAGACTCAATATTGACTACAAAGTAAGCATTTTCGAGGGAAACTGGGACTACCCATTTAATGAGTAAATTATTAGTATTTGTTACTCATAAATTAATACTTACTACTCATTTTTGAAGTTTTAATTGCTCATAAATGGGTAGAATTTTACTCATTTAATGGATAATTCCAGTTTCCCTCGAAAATGCTTACTTTGTAGTCATTATTGAGTATTTTGGGGCTACCGTGTATTAAATGAGGGGGGGGGGACACTTTTAGCGGAAATGGGTATTTTTATACCCATTAATGAGTTTTCGCGAAACACCGTGTTGGCTGCGTTCTGATCGATCCGTTGCGGGGAGAAAATTTTATTCTTTCGTGAATGAGCAGCTCTTAGCTGCAGATAGAATATTATTCTCAAAATTCTTCAAGAAGTTTTGCGACGTTCGCTTTATTTCCTTGAAAATCATTCGAAGAATTTGTTCACCTCGTTTAAGTGACCTGAAGTTTCCAGGAAGTGCTCATATCTTTTTGCCAAAGCAAGTTTTTATTTATAAAAGTATACTTTTCACCTTTTTTGCAAAAACATCAAGAAGAGCTTGATTTGTGTCTTCGCTTTTTACCTTGTAAAAAAGTTTTTCAAAACAAACCTATTTTCAGTCGCTGCGATGGCAAACGGTGAGCAACCGGAGTATGTGGTTGAGCAGATATTGAAAAAACGCACTCATCGTGGCGTAGTGCAGTATCTGATCAAGTGGAAAGGCTGCGATTCAACCGAAAATACATGGGAACCGGAAGAGAATTTAAACTGTCAGGAATTAGTAAAGCAATTTCTGGAGGAAGAAGCGAAAAACCCGAATAGGCGTAAAGGGCGTAAACCTGCTTCATTGAAAACCACTACCGACAAGGACGACGACAATGGCAAGATGAGCAAGGAGAAGGAAGAGGTTGAGAACAAAAGCGACGAAAAAGAGCAACGGAAGAAGAAACCCACCAGGAAATCGGCCGATATCTTAAAGAAGCAAACGGACGATGACGATCTCAACGGATTCGAGCAGGGATTTGTCGCGGACAGCCTAGTTGGCATAACGGAAGAAAACGGGCAATTATTATTCTTGGTTAAGTGGCAGAACAAGGACGAACTGGAATTGGTTCCATCAAAGGAAACTCGGAAATATGTACCGGAAATGGTGATCGATTTTTACCAGGATCGGATCACTTGGAACACGAAGGGGAGCAAGAAGTAACCGACTGTAAATATATGCATCTGATTCTTTGTTTTACAGTAAGTTCTGTATTTGCACTTTTGCATTGCATTCGTACATTTGTTTGCTGATACGAATAAATCGGTATAAAACTGAATAATTTTATTTTTAATCTGAAGAGAAAGAGGTGAATATTTTGGTATGTTGATTTCTGCTTTTATTCGAACAGCATCTCATCAGTGGTAATTACAATGGTCACTATTTAATTAAATAAAAAGTATATATATACACAACAATTGAATTCATTATAAATCTGCCCTAAAATACGTATTTTAAAGATATTTAACAATCCTGCTTGGAAAGAAATCAGTACATTACTTCAAGTCTTTCACACCGGAATCCGTCATACTTTCGGCGTCACCACTCATGTACAATCGGTTCTGTGTATCCCACAGCTTCGTATACAATCCGCCACTTCGGAGCAGCTGCTCGTGTGTGCCCCGCTGGCAGATGCGTCCGTTCTCCAGCACAAGAATTTCATCCGCGTCCATCACGGTCGACAGCCGATGGGCAATGCAGATGCTTGTTCTGTGTTCCGTTGCCCGTGCCAAGGCTTTCAAAATGTTGTGCTCTGTAATGGAATCTAAACTGCTGGTCGCTTCGTCAAAGATCAGAATTGGAGAGTTCTTCAGGATGGCCCTGGCGATAGCCACCCGTTGTTTCTCTCCTCCCGACAGCTTCAAGCCACGCTCGCCGACCTGCGTTTCGTACTGCTTGGGCCACCTTCGAATGGATTCATGCAAATCTGCCATTCGAGCAGCCTCTTCAACCTCTTCCTGACCCTTGGACAAGTCTCCGTAGTGGATGTTGTGGCGAATTGAATCGTGGAACAGAACCGAATCCTGCGGAACAATGGCGATTGCTTTCCTCAGGCTGTCCAGATTAACATCCCGAATATCTTGGCCGTTGATGAGTATCTGACCGGAGGTGGGTTCGAAAAATCGGTATAGGAGACGTACCATCGAAGATTTTCCGGACCCCGACCCGCCGACGAAAGCGACCTTCTTACCAGCCGGAATCGTAAAACTCAGCTGATCGAAAATGGTATTACTGTGCTTGTACTTGAAGCAAACATCTTTGAATTCAATCGAAGCAGTTTCCCGACTGACCTGTAGTGGTAGAGAATTTACCTTCGATTGTACAGCACTTTTAACGCCCATCAAGGTAAACATGGTTCTCATATCCAACAGAGCTTGTCTCACTTCCCGATATACGCTTCCGAGGAAACCCAATGGAATCGATAACTGAAATAGCAATCCATTGACCATGACCAGATCTCCCACGGTCATGTTGCCATTGACGATTTCATTCGCGGCCATCACCATGATCGCACTCAGTGCCACACTGAAGATCGCATTTTGACCAAAGTTGAGCAGTGCCAAGCTGGTGCTGGTCTTCAAGCTAGCTGCCTCATATTTTTTCAACACGTCGTCGTAGCGCTGTGCTTCGTATCGTTCGTTGTTGAAATACTTAACCGTTTCGTAGTTGATTAGTGAATCGACGGCCTTGTTACCCGCTTCGTTTTCCGCTTGGTTCATGTAGACCCGGAATCTGGTTCGCCATTGGGTGACCGCAAGCGTGTAGGCACTGTATACACCGACGCATCCCATGGAAAGGGCTGCATAGGCGAATCCACACTTAGCCCCGAGGATGCTGGAGACCAGGGCTAGCTCGAACATGGTTGGAACAACGTTGAACACCATTGCCGTCAGTACAAAGTTTATACCACGGGAGCCTCGATCGATGGTCTGCAAGAAATGGGAAGGGTTTTTTTTTTAAGTGCGAATGACTACTAGGGTGATTCAACTTTGAATTGAGAACTTCTTGGTTTGACCCAATCTAGTGGTTGCGATTCATATAGGTATACTACAGTCCCACATTAGGGGAAAGAAGGGTAGTCTGTATTTCTCGATTACTTTTTCGAAGACGCGTATCAGCATATCGATTTGGCATAACTTCCTGATAGTGTTGTTAGTATCAGTCGCCAAATCGACGATCAAATCCATTGTTTACAAAATCAGATACGTTCCTTCGAAAAAGTAATCGAGATTTTTTTCCTTTGCATTTCTACTAAAGTTAGTCCTTAGCGACTGTTCAAAAAGTATATCTACTGATGATTATCCGATTATTAATAGTCCTTCGGCTCCGTAGAGCTTCAAACACAACGAGTTTACCAGATAAGGGGTTGTTCATAAACTACGCAAACAGTTTTTGAGAGCTTTCAAACTTCCCCCTAAAAACATCAAAATTTTGTAAACCACGGATACTCACTAGTGCGACCTCCCCACCCCTCCCCCTAAACAGTCAACGTAGTTTATGAATAAATCCTAAGCAAATCGAAAAAAAAATGATCTCTATTATTAACTACTGTGAAAGTGCCAGATACTTACTCCTGTGCGTTTTTACCCGTATTTTCTAAGAGCGTTTAAAATCCCCACCCTGTTGTACCCTACTGTTGACCCAATTACCTTGGACAGAGCACCGGTTTGCTTGCTCAGGTGGAACTGCAAATCCAGATTGTGCAGATGGAGGAACACATTGGTAGCAATTTTCCTAATCGAGTGCTGGGCCACTCGCGCAAACACGGCATTGCGCATTTCGTTGAAACCGGCAGCACCAGCCCGAGCAATGCCATCTAAAACAAAAAAAAAAGGTTCAAAATGAGTCACCTATGCATAAGAGGTGAACTTTAACTTACATCCCAGTAGAACGGCAATCGTCATCGAGGCAGCCGCCTGCGGAACAGTGTCCATGTTGAGGTTACTCAAATTGTCCACACCAATCTTGAACAGGAAAGGCACACAGACGTTCAACACCTTTGCACCGCCCAGTAGGCCCAGGGATATTAGCACTCTAGTAAAAATTGTTTTTAGGTTAGCATATTACCTGTATCAAGGGGAGCGAAAATTCACTTACCTTTTGCGCACTAGAGCATCATCCTTCGGCCAGATGTAGGTTGCCATCGCCTTGATCATATCGGTTGCAGTAATTTCTGGACCTTCGTATGTACCAATATTCTCGCCGGACGCGGGATGATGGCCTAGATGGAAACAATTTCGTATTGGTTGTTTTTGAGGAATGAACTTCTTCTCTGTATCTAGGCTTTGTTCTTGATCTGGTTGTTGTTGTTGCTGCCCCGGCAGGCGAGAAAAGGCTTGACCACTGATAGGAAATGGACCGTAACTAGAACGATAACAGCCACTGGCCGTTGCACAGGTATGCAACGTTGTCGCTAGCGGTACCGTCAAATAGGGACAACGATTTTGAGGACCTAGGTGTAGATATACAACAGCGAGGAGAAAATGGGATCAGCTTCCGGGTGACGAAATCAACAGAAATAGTATACAGAAAGAGTAGCTGAATCGAATGGATGCCTCAATCTGATGCAGAATTACAGATTGGATGAGACATAAGCGCAAATTTTGAACAATAAATTGGTCAGTACAGTAAAGACAAGAGTGAGTAGACTAGCGGTCCAAAACTACGTGGGTAATTAGAGGAAGCAAGCAACAAACAACAAACTGAAAACAATTATTAGTAAACTACAGATATAGTGGACTAATTTTGAATTTGTACATGGCCTTATTCCGATGTTTACTAGCAGTGAAAGATTGTGCCACGTTTGACCTAAAGTCGGTTTTCATAATAGGTTAACATATTAGGGAAGGTCCATTAATTATGTCACGCAAATTTGGCCCATTTTCAACCCCTGGCCTTATTTTTTTTTTGTATGGCTCGACAAACCCTCTAAAAATGTGACATAATTAATGGACGGTTCCTTAACATACATGTTGACTCACAAAATCAAAATCAAGTTATGCCCAACAAATTTAGGCCAAATGACCTACTTCCCCGTGAATAACTGCATTTGTAGCTTTCGGTAGTGCGTTATTGATAATAATAATTGTTCTACAAAATTGAGCTTTTCAAGTAGGTACTGAGCAAGATGCAATCAATCAAACATGTCCTACCAAATTGTGTTACCTTTCTTCTTTTTCCGCTGAAAAATGTCCCCTAGCACATTGGACCCCAGTGCCGTCGTCGGTTTTTGGGACGCCTTTGTACTGGCAAATACCGTCGGCGGAAGAAGCGCTCTGTTGTTGATTCGACGACTCCCTCCAAGCAGACCGGCGCGGTGTTGTTCTGACAAATCATGTTTCTCGGGGGCTTTCGATCGGGAGAAAAAGTTCTAAAACGAAATCGAGGTTACCAGTCGTATTAGAGTTGCGCTCTAATTTTATTCAGAAATTTTATGCATTCGTCCAAATAAGCGTGACATATCCGTCCGGAAGGCGAGAGGTCGGACAGTTTGGACAATCCACTGCAGAATGTGTGATATTCCTTCAGTTTGTAATTGATTAAGCGGGATGCGATTTCGCGAATAGGATCAAGTGACGGAATTTCTCCGAATGCAATCATTCGCAACTGATAGATGTTCTGTTCGGCAAATAGAATTGTAAGGCAAACGGCTAAGTTGTGACTCAAAACATCTCCTGGCACGAAAAACAGTTGCTCTTCCAGATGATGCTCCGCAATGAAGCAGTACTTTTCGCGGTGGATTTTCAACGGCCTCAACTCAGGATCGTATTTGATGAAAGCATTGATGTCGTCCAGGCTGATTTCGAGATAATCTTGTTGATTGTCAGGCAGGAAAAAACCGTATTCGGTTAATAGCTTAGCATTATTATGAACTCCATAGCTGATGAATATCTGGGAATACGCAGGAAATGGTACCTCGCTTATCAATTCGTAGAATAGCTCTACCGGGTGATTCTTGTCCAGCATTCTTTCCACTGTTTTATAAGGAACAGAGAGTTGGGATGTCGTCTTGGCACTACTATCGTGATTGAGGAAATCTAGCAGTGGAGCTAATGCCATGTTTGGTTCATCCGACAACTTTTCTACAAACATACACTTCTTATCCTTGATAAACACTTTGGCATATATTGAATCTAAATATACGCTTCTAGTATTAACGACGAAGTAAGCCCATTTAAATAGTTCCAAGCTTATATCGGTTTTGGCGTCCTTTCGTGCGAGGCTCTCCAGCTTTGCATAATTCTTCTTAATCAATTCATTTTGATCAACCATCTTTTTTAAAACCGTATCAGGCAGAAACGCCATCTCCTGTTTGGAACAAAAGTACGGTACTGCAAATTCTTTGGGCAGAGAATATATATACGCTCTGTAGCCCCCGTCCACCTCCTGCAAGCTCAAGTAACTTAAATAGTATGCCAGCATGGACTGAAACTGGATTTCTCCTTTCGAGAGCTCCTGCAAAGCCTGTTCATCGAAGCACTGCTTAAATATCTGATCTTCCTCGATATTTTTCAGACTTATCAAAGCTTCAAACGGCAGCCGGACTATAGTATCTCCGATTGCAATGTGCCTTCTCGAATACAATCCTTTTCCCGTCTCTGGAAAATCACAAATCCGTAGTTCCGCCTGGTTATTCCAACCTAATCTGCACAGTAACCGACACAGTTCGACATGTTCTAAGCATTGGATCACACTTTTGTTATTTTTCTGGTTCCGCCTTCGGCGAGTTCTGCCCATCCTGCTTTCCGAGTTGCTTGGTAAACAAACCCGTATTACATAATTCACAACGTTCGCAACAGAAAAAATAGCGACCTTGATGATGATGTCGATTCTCTATCCAATCACACGTGTTTCGTTTCCGGGAAAGCAGGAAGAGATGACTCAGGTCTGAAAAGTAGGCGATCAATTTCGATTATAAACAATCAGCTGATTTCTGTCCACGGCGGTAAAAAAAAACAAGCATGAGATCCATCTCTTCTTCCCCTCGGTGGATGCTTTATCAGCCGCGTACGAACGGAAAGAATGCATAAAATTTTACAGCGAAATTTATTGGACGCGGTAGGTTACTTACCCGACTGGAATGCTGGCAGGTTCCGACGACACAGACGGGAGGATTTGCGAAGGACTTCCGCAAGTTTTCCAACAAAATTAGATTTACTCCACAGGTCTGTTTTGATGCGAGTTGCAGCAGCGCAGCCATTTTTGTCGCTAACTTGACTTGACAGATGCACGATCGGTTTTCCTTTTTTTATCGAGGATTTCTAGTTGCACCCACTGGAGGAGGGTTACGAAAAAAATTGAACTGGAATAAATCACGGCCGATGAGAATAACTCAATAACTGAGTCGAATTAAACTCAAAATAGAAAACAATGGGTTACGGGGTTACTCAGTGAGTGTGTACACACTTAATGATGCCTTTCCAGTTCGGTAATTTTGTTTACAGTTTTTGAACTGTAAATCAGAAAAAATACCGAACATTCAACTATTCTCAATAAAACTACTGATGTTCAGTAGCTTTTGCGACAACTACTGAATATGGTCAAGTACTGAATTTTCCGTAAAAAAACAGTTTTACGGTGAATGACTAAAACATGTCAGTAAATAGAGTACCGAGTTTTTAGTATTCATTATGTTTTACTGAACAGTCATCGAACGAAATTCCAAAATTGCTGATCTCACCAGTAAGTTAACTTGCTTGCACCATTCTCCTTCATTTCACCTCGCACACTTGAGCTCGGAAATCTCTGTGCGATAATTGAAAACCTGTGTGAAAATAAGTGAAACATCTGGAAGCCAACGCAGGAATGCAGAAACTGCCACGGGATTTGGTAACCTTCTGCATCGACTTCCAGATGTTTCACTGATTTTGAAGCAAAACTAAAGAAGAAGACTAAGATGAAACAGTCGGAAGAAAAACTTTCTATTTTAGTGTCCTCTTTCACGGTCCCTTTCATCCAATGAATACCCCCCGTATGCAAGGTAATTTGTGGTTTTGCTGCCCCGCTTGGCAGAGATGAGATTTGGCGCTCTTTTTTTATCAAAACAAACACACCAAAATCAGAGACGTCCCATTTTTTAATAACTCGATAAACAACTAATCGATTATTTTTTTTCGTTATGCTGTCATTTTTCCACCAATGAGAGTGCAGCATATGTTTGAAACGATGGGTGATGATCCTCTGGAGATTACAAATATTTTACTTTTCGGTTCTTTAATTGATAAATCGACTACGAATGAAAATCAGCCACCATTAGATGAATGTGAAACGTCATTTGAAATATATGGACCGTACATAAATAATGATACAATTTGAAAGGGACCGGGGCTAATCACAAATTACATCCCCACGGTAACTGAAATAAACACGAGTATTCAGCGGTTGGCAAAACCTCGGGAAAAACCATTACTTAAATTGCCTGTTGCAGAGCTCCAGACATGGACACGCAATCCGCACACCAAGAGAGCCAACGCTTTACTGAGCATATGGGTGAAACAAAGTTCGCAAAACAGCTAGGAAGTGCCAATAAACTCTGAAGTTCTTAGAAGTTTGCCGACCTTCTACAATCAACCACTTCATTCAAGCAGTTAAAATGACGTTTGCTTCCACTTGAACTTTGAAATAAAACTTTATTTTGAGATTTTTTCTTCTAGAACCACGAGAAAAGTAGCCATAATTTGAGCGTTTCATAAAAAATAGAAATTAGTTGGTCCAGTTTTGTGGAATCGCTGGTAGAAAGTGAAGCCAAAACTGCTTGAATAAGGATTTTAAGGATCCCAAACTTTAGAAAATTCTCATGTTAGATAATTTTCAAGGTTAGATAATTCAATGAAATTTGGAAATAGACGTTTTTTTTAGATCATGTATATTTAAACATCAATTAAATCTTAGACTAGGACGAGGACTTTTATTTTATAGTTTCAAATATTCTGGCTTTAAAATATGGCAATGTGCACATATAATAAATATATATAAGACATAGGAAAATGTTCAAAATAAAGGGTGTCCACGATGAAATTGCCACACACAAAATTGATTCGCAAAATTCGAGTTTTCATCCGATTGCCATCAAATTTTCAGGGATTGAGAAATAACTATTAAACTTCATTTTACCATTTTACTCGTATTTTATTTACAGTCCATACGCAAATGCCCGCACCTTGGCCTTAACCCCGGCCATAAGATTCTGCACAACCTGTGAATCAACCGTTTTTTGCATGTAAACACATACTTTCTTCAGTTCCTCGACTGTCTTCACTACCTTAGGTCGTTTAAGAAGGTGCTGCTTCATAATCGCCCAGTACTTCTCGATGGGGCGGAGCTCCGGAGTGTTGGGAGGGTTGAACATTTTCGGCACGAAATTGACCTTATTGTCCGCATACCACTTCAGCACGTCCTTGGAGTAGTGGCATGAGGCCAAATCCGGCCAGAAGATTGTTGGGACGTTGTGGGCCTTCAGGAGAGGAAGCAGCCGCTTCTGGAGGCACTCTTTTATGTACACCTGTCCGTTCATCTTGGCCTGGGTCACGAAAGGTGCACTCCGCTTCCCGCACGTGCAGATGGCTTGCCAAACCAGGAATTTCTTCGCAAATTTGGACATCTTCTGAGTGCGGACATGCTCCGGAACGCTGAACTTATCCTTGGCCGTGAAAAACAGGTTGCCGGGGATCTGTTTGAAGTCGGCCTTCACATATGTTTCGTCGTCCATGATGCAGCATTCAACTTTCGTCAGCATGTTGAGGTACAACTTCCTGGCACGGGTTTTGGCGGACTTGTTCTGCTTCTCGTCGCGATTAGGGGCCTTTTGTACCTTGAACGTTCGAAGCCCAGCCTTAGTTTTGGCCTTCTGGACAAAACTTCGGCTTAGGTGCAGCTTCTTAGCCACATCCCTAACGGAGGCGTTCGGATTTCGGTTGAAGGCCCCAACTACGCGGTTGTGATTTTTGGTGTTGTACGGAATACTTTTTCCTTCACTTCTGGGCTTCCGATCGGTGGTCAACCGTTCCTCGAACCGCTTAATCACTCGCGACACCGTGGAATTCGCGATTCCCAACGTTTTAGCGATGGAACGATGCGAGAGATCCTTGTTCTCGTGATGAATGCGCAAGATTTTATCACGCACGAGCTGTTCTTTCGACTCCATTTCCGCGAGTTTTGATCACAGGACTTTAAAACTTGCAGGATGTAAATAATGCACTATGAACTAAATCCACCCACATTTTCATTAAATTCTACTCAACGGTTAAAAAGTTAGAGCAATTTCATAGTGTGGCAATTTCATCGTGGACACCCTTTATATGCCAATGAACAATTCTTAAAATCCTGAAAGTTAAAATAAAAATAGTTTGGAGATCCCAAACCCATACGTTTTCAAAATTTTGTTACTAAAAAAAAAACAGATATCTTTTATTCAGATTGTAAGTATAAATTCTTCGAATTCAAATGTAAATATGAGATCGTGGAATTTGATCAATTATCATAATTTTAAGACTACGATAAAATTGCAGATCCTTCTGCGACTGTAATTTCATAAACAAAATAATATTCGATATTGATTCTAAAAAAAAAAAATAACTTAGAATTTCAAAAAATATACTATAAACACAGACAAGCAGACATAACACTAGCAAGTTGTTCATCGAACAAGCATTTAACGGTCAAATTAAACATATTTTAGTTGGTAGTACCGCCACCTGTTGCGCGCATGGTTGATTCCCTTGCGTTTGATGTTTGCACACTACCGCCATCTGTTCAGCGTACTGCCCACCACAGTGTACTCAACAGATGGTGGTTATGTTCTAGCGACGATGTTTTACAGTGAGAAATATCCAATGTGTTATGTCTGTTTGTCTGTGCTATAAATATGCCTGAAAAATATTCCACCATAAAATATCAAATATTCAAAAGTTTTACGCTCATGGATCAGCTTTGAATCTCCCGAACTTCAAAATAAAATCGTAATTAAAGTTCTTGGGAAACTCACCTAGATTCTGAGACTTACATCATTTTTCGAGAGGAAAATTCTTCGAGATAAGAATAACAACAATACAGATTTTAAAAAATTCGAAAAATCTTGTGTTATGGAAATGCTTACACCTTCATTATCATTTACCTTGGCTTTTATAAATGAGTTTGTTACACCCTTCACTATATGTATCTTGACATGAATAAAACCCAGTCATTGTTAACCCGTCCATCTGACTACATTACTACTGCGTAACATGGTGTCAGAATAAAAAGCTACTACGCAATTAGCAAATCGGTCGGGAAAATAAGTCGAAAAAAAAAATACATTTCGGTCGCCGCGAAGATAGTATTTTCGCGAAACGCAGCGTGTTTTTGGTGGAGGAAGGTTTCTATCCACACAGCAACAGTTTTAAACACAGCAACTAGCACAGCAAGCAGCGAACATGAGCTTGCCTCCAAATCCGGATCCAGCGCCGGTACCGGCGGTGATTGCGGCAGCACCCGCAATGAACAGCAACATCCCGTTCCCGGAACAACTGAAGCTTACAGGGAACATGAAGGAGAACGTGGATAATTTCAAGGATTCGTTCGAAATTTACCTCATCGCGTCTGGGCTCGAGTTGCAAGAGGAACGAGTCAAAATCGCAACTTTCAAGGCAGCGCTCGGGTTGGAGGCCAGAAAAATTTTCAATTTGTGGCCACTGCAACCGGAGGAGCAAAACACAGTAGCAGCCTGTCTGGTATCTTTGTCCCAGTACATGGTTCCACAGAGGGACGTGAAATTGGCACGGTATGAGTTCTACCAGTGTCAGCAGCAGTCTTACAGCGACACCGGCGAAGAAGAAAGTATGTCGCACTTCATAAACCGAGCACGGGAGCTCGTCAAAGACTGCAATTTCGGCGCATTGGAGGACGAAATGTTGCGTGACAAAATCATCACCGGAATCCTCGACGTGAACCTCAAGAAGCGGTTTATTGGAGAACAAAACCTTACGTCTGCGATGGTTATCAACCAGTGTCGAACAGAGGAGGCCACGAAAGCAGAGATGGAGCGCCAACACTTGCTGCAACCGGGCCCATCAACACAAACCATAAACAAGGTGGGTAACATCCAAAAACGAAGCAGGAAGTGTACATTTTGTGGTAAATCATATCACCAGAAGCTGACGGACTGCCCGGCCCGCGGAGTGGTTTGTAATTACTGCAAGCAAAAAAACCATTACGCCGCTGTGT